CTGTTTATAAATAGGCTAGCCTCAGCAAATATTCACAGGATATATGGTAAATTAACCATACGATCGTCCAAAATCTTCAACACATAAAAGGACAAAACACACAGTACCACCAAAACCTGTTGTTGTTGTGTTGATTTAGGGACGACGACGACGATACCACCACAACCTGTCAACACAGATACCGGCGGACGATGCAATAGCAAATTCTAAATAGGGGTATGAAAGTTCACGTTAAACTTATCACTAATTGGCAATGCCAAGTTGAACACACACACACACCAGGTGGCCAGTGATACGTCCACCAACAGGTGGCTGCACCGTCACCGTTTTCGATTGCAGTCTTGCTACTGATATCGCGTTGTATCCTATGTGAAAATAGAATGATATCAACTGCACTTTGTGTTGTTGCACTGATTTACACAAACTACGTGTTAAATGTGAAGCGTATTTATAAATATTTAATATATGACTAAAATATATGACTAAGATGAGGTACAAATTAGAACAATTGCCAGCAAGGCTTTATTTATGTTTCGTGCCCCCCCCCCTCGGTATAATAGCCAATATCAATGGAGAACAGACGGAAAAATATATATGATGGTTAGCATTGTAAATACACTTAATTCTTATTTTGTGTCTGAGTAGTCAATAACCCATTACCTTACTTTGCGGTTACCTTATTATGATTCCAAGGATCAATGTCCCCGCGACCCGGTCTCCAACTAGGCCTCCTAAAGGTTGTTTGTCAAGTCCAACCAAACTGTTGGACGCGGCTGCTCGCAGCCTGATGTGAGAGTCACAGCCTGGTTGATCAGGTATCTTTTAAAAAGTGTCTATCAAGTTCTCTTTTAGGATTAAAGTATATATGTTGATTGGTCAGTAAGCAATTGTGGTGGCCTCTTAATGTAGGATAGCAGTTCTACCTGCAGTTTCACTAGCAACCTCAATGACATTCTTAATGAACCTTAGTCATTCTTAATCTTAGTTAAAGAAAAAAAAGTGAAATGCATATATATAGAGAGAGATAACCCTGATTGCGGTTGTTTTGCATGTATTTCTTTCTAAAAATGTCAACATATCTTTAATTTCATCTAGTGCTTTATAAACACATCTACGCTAAAATATGCCAACATAGAGCCAGGACAAACATTACAAAGCAGAAGTGTCACAATTCAGCCAGACGCCAGCCAGGCTACACAAATGTTTAAATTTCGTCAGTAACATAAATATACTGAAAAGCAGGGCAAAAACTTCGAGCACACTTTTTACAATTAAACGTTTGCCATATTTAGTGTTTCATTGTTACCGGAACTTTATTTTTGGTGCAGGCAAATTATTTACTTCTCTTTTATTTTATATAAAAAAGTAAATTTGCCCATCTTTAAGAGAGCCATAATTTTCAAATTCTAGGTTGCAAGAGACGGTCCGATAGTTTTCCTCACATTTGCAAAATAAAAAAGGAAAAAAATATTAATAGACATGGAAAACAAACCATGGCACGACACTTATGACCTAAAATCTACTGAAGGTTACAGTGGCTGAGCAAGAAGCCTCTTAGGCTATCTTGAGATGATTTCGGGGCTTTTTTTTAGTGTCCCCGCGGCCCGGTCCTCGACCAGGCCTCCACCCCCAGGAAGCAGCCCGTAACAGCTGACTAACACTCAGGTACCTATTTTACTGCTAGGTAACAGGGGCATAGGGTGAAAGAAACTCTGCCCATTGTTTCTCGCCGGCGCCTGGGATCGAACCCAGGATCACAAGTCCAGGGTGCTGTCCGCTCGGCCGACCGGCTCCCCGGCTTATCAAAGTTCCTCTAGTCAAGGACGAAGGTTCGCGCGTTTCCCTATCGACCCATTGCATAATCTTGTAACAGTGTAAACCACCCCACAGCTGTGCATCGACTCTAGCATAGTGTTTGACTACTGCATATGTAGTGGTTCTGAATGAGGATACTACTCAGACAACCGAAAATATGGTTGTGCGCGAACAAATTAAGGTATGATACGACGCAAACCACTGAATATGTAATTATCGAATACCTCTATACAGTCATGGAAATAGATAGTTCATCTATTTTTATGTTCACATTTAATTTCGTGTGGCGAACATGCTCGGGCTATAGAAAAAACTGTATTATACAATAATGTATCGGGGTTAAATGGGGATGTACGGTGCACTTCAATAAGCTGGTGAATACGTGAAGACTGGACAGAGAGCAGTCACAATCAGACAGGAAGGAGGTTTCAAGCTGGAGGAATGTAAGACGTCAGGTCCCACAAGCCTCGATCCTGAGATCACTGTTGTTCTCAGTTTATGTGAACAGTGTGTGTGTGGACCTACACCACAATGTATGTATGTATGTATGTATGTATGTATGTATGTATGTATGTATGTATGTATGTATGTATGTATGTATGTATGTATGTATGTATGTATGTATATATATATATATATATATATATATATATATATATATATATATATATATATATATATATATATATATATATATATATGTATATATATATATATATATACATCTATATCGTCTTTTTATATTACAAGTAGTTCAAGAAGTGTCCCTAGTCTCAATCTACAGTTACAGGAGGGGTACTGGTACAGCGAGGGCTGTGGGGGAAAGACGGAGGAGGAAGCCAGAGAGAAGGGTATAGTGTACGATGCAGACAGTGTGGGTCTTGAGATAGCACTTAAGTCAAAGAATTCGAATGTTGCCAATTTTTTTATTTATTTTTAGTATAACCTATTATTTTGACAAATATGCTCATGTAATATGAACTTTTTAAATTATATATAACACAAATATCTACCCGGTATATTTTAGAATAAAAAATAATCGGTATTTATAAATTATGATATAGTTGTTTTGTAGGAGCATGAAGCATCATGGTTACACTATACGTTTTAGTTTGTGTCTTGTCCCAGAGTGTAGTGCAGCAGCTGTGGGTGAGGGTGGTACAGTGTTTGGAAGATACTGTACATTGTGAACACATGCCAGCAGCTACATGTGTCACAGGAATGTTATTAGCATAATGTCCATGTGGCTGTAGATTATTTATTTAGGAATCTATGGTCAAGTGTTACTTTGAAAAGCTATGGATTTTCATTGCACTTTTAGCTAACATGGATGTGTATGACACTTCTATTACAGGGTCTATAATGCAAGTGTCATACACACCCATCAGTAAAAATGAGCAAACAAAAGCCAGAGCTTCTCGAAGCAGCAACACTTGATACTATTGACCTCTTAATAATCTACGATCACACGAACACTGATGGCTCTGTTCAACTGATCGCACTACAACAGCCTGTAAGTTCTGTAAAAATAGCAGGTGTACGCTGACTACTAGAGCAAGATAGTAAGATTGACTTAGCCCCACACATACATACAGAGTAGCTGTACTACATGTATAATCACTAATACTGACACATAAACGGGTACTTTTTTGTGATTCAAAATTCGTGTCAGCTCTTCAGGCATTTACATAGAGCAAGAGTTTCAGAATCTCTTTTGTGAGGATACCATCTATCAGATATTATCCAGCATAATAATACAAATTAGACTTAGATATTCCAATTTCTATTAATTCGAAATTAATTTACACTACTCAAGAAACTAGGGCTAATATGAACAATCACCGACATTCAAAGGGCAATAAGCACTAGTACAAAGTTATTGGGTTGAGGGTTTTGTGTTATGTTCTTGACTTGATGTATGTTGTGTTTCTCTTGCGTTTTCTCCAGTTATACTTATTATTGTACTTTGCTGCCGGTCCTTCTGGCCGGTGGTTTCCTGTTTGCTTTGTTGATATGTTCCTATGTTTGTTTTATTCTATTTAATTACATGTATGCATTTAAAAACAAAATAATAAAAAAGGTACAAAGCTATGATACGTTTATAACTGAGAATTATATGTTCAGACAGCATACCATCCATCCAACAGGGTGACTGTAATTGCCAAAATTAGGCTGAGATGTCGTTACTTATGGCACGTAACAGCAGGTTACCTGTGATATATATGAATCTCCCACCACTGAACACTCTAATTGTAAACTGTGTAAACAAGAGCTAGGACACACTCTCTAACATTATATTACTAAATGCACAATTATCAATTATTTTAGACTAAATGACATGAGATACTTTAAACTTAGTAATTATTTCATTCACTCAGGGATAATGGAAGATATTCTCGAGCTCTACACAAGGTTTGCTCAGGTGTTTGACAACTGGGTGGACAGCGCTTCGAATTCGTAGTCCTGAGGTTCCGGGTTCGATCTCCGGTGGAGGCAGAGACAAATGGGCAAAATGTTGCTTTCACCCTGATGCCCCTGTTACCTAGCAGTATATAGGTACCTGGGAGCTAGACAGCTGCTACGGGCTGCTTTCTGAGGGGGGGTGTAACAAAAAGAAGGCCTGGCCGAGGACGGGGACACTAAGCCCCGAAATCATCTCAAGATAACCTCAAGATAGTAGATTCGCTTCCCGGCATGATTTTTTACTACAATTTGAATAATCATCCTGTGAGAAGGGGGATATTAGTTGAACTTATAGCTAGCTCACGATCTATAGTTCTATAATAATAATAATAATAATAATAATAATAATAATAATTTTTATTTAGGCAAAGGTACATACATAAAGAGATTTTACAAAGTTTGTTGGCTTTATAGATAGAGCTAGTACATACAATGCCTAAAGCCACTATTACGCAAAGCGTTTCGGGCAGGATTTACTTTATAAGGATGAGTATAAGGTGGCAGCACACTATCTACTGTATTCCTAAGCTTGTTAAATTAATGATATGTTCGAACCATCGTTATTCATCATATGCTCTTGCAGCTGAATGTGTTGTGGGGATTCACAACAATTTTCCCGATCGCTCAACATGAATGGCAATTATCATGTTCCTTTACACTTATTGTATATTAGAAAAGAACCCCCCCCCCCTAATAGAACGTATATGTTATTTGTGTTGCAGGGTGTGGGGTGTGAGAGGAGGATGGTGGGAGCGGTGTGGCCGAGCACCCAGCATGCGCAGGGCCGCTAGGACGCTCCTAGCCTCATTTGCAGCTGTCTTCTCTTGCATTTTCATTCTTTATGGAAATCACATCATTAACAGTTTCTCAAGTAGGTGAAAATATATAATTTGTGATATTAAATATTGCCTTTATATATGTTTATTCGGAATGTTAATGACGATTCAAACTCTGTAACTAGCCCACCAATGCTGTACCTTGCATGCTAACAAATTTGGGGGATTCTGTTCCTGTGCAAATTATGTGCCTCTGTAATCTGTTCCACAGTCACCTAAAGAATGGGTATAGGGTGCATAATAAACACACTAAACTAAAGTGTACACTTATTGTAAGAGTCAGAAGGAACGTAATGCAAAAAAAAACTAAGATAAATTCAAATAAATTTAAATTTCATGTAAAGAGGTCAATGTTTATTTTATTTCAGAACATACTGTATTAAATGAAAGGCAAAACTGTCCACTCAACAATATTCACCATTATAGGCCCTATAAATAAATATCAGACATCTAGAAGAAAATTCAACAGATGCGTCTTGAGAGATCCAGAGTCAAAGAAATATGATATTAAGGACCTGTGGTCCACAAGAATTAGCTGTATGGCTTTGGAGTTGAAAGCAACAGAAAGAAAACTAGAGCTAAAAGTACTATTCTGTCCTTCTCTCGCATAAAGCTAGAACGAATAAAACAAGGAAATGCTGAATAGAGATTTATTTTTTAAATAGGGAAACAATTATGAATTCCATACACACTGCATTTGGTATGAGTTTTATATTCATAGATCAGTTGTTCATCTAACGGTAACATCTATTGCAGATCACAGGTTAATGCTCCCCACAAGATTGATCTTAGAAACTAATGCTCAACATCATATTGATAATATTGGAATTTTAAAGGTGAGTATTTATTTATTTGTTTTGTAAATTAAAGAAAAATAAAAAGAACGGCTATAGTGTTCAGCAAACGATGGCCTCATGTCTATGAAACCTTTACAAATTAACCCAATATGCAGTCTTAGTCAGGCATGTAATCACTGAGAGCGGGTGAAATATAATAGGTTGGTATTTGTAAAGCGCCTGCTTTGAACAAAAAAGAGGCTGTATGTAGTATGGATGTATTGCTGGCAGAATCAGAAACTTATTCGTTCGAACCATGCATATATCTTCTATCATACTTGTTGTATACTCAGCTCAATATTCTTCCGCAGCTCAATCTAACAGTGCCATGGATGTATACAGATCATTGAGACAGTTCTGGTGATTGCTACATTTAACATTCATGCAAGCAATTGTTTCTGTTGGAATTCTGATATTATTAACTTCGCCATTATGAACAAGTTTGAGCTTATTTGGGTCAACAAGTGACTTCCATAGTTTAGATGTATTCTAGGAAGGAAGCTATTATCACCTTCAGCAGCACCTTGTGAGACATTGTGTGTGATGTTTGATATGTGTTGCGTGCGTATTATGTTTGGTGTATATAATTACCTAAGTATAATTACATGGGTTTTTTTTATTATTAGGGAAAATTTAGTGTTCTGTACACTAAACTAAGGGGCCATGGTGAAAAATATGCCAAAAATAGACAATAAATGAAAACTTGTTCGATTTCAATCAAACTTTTTTTTGACGAGTTGTATATGAAAAGGGTTTCATCTGGTCCAAGTCTCAGCATAAATAGAAAGGGAGAAAAAAAATATTGAATTATGTGTCAAAAATTTTCCAAAATGATAAAAAACGATTATCAAACACAAGTATCAACTGAAATCATGTCTATGACTCTCAGCTTTCACAATAGCATATATTAAAAATAAATTATAATTAGTTTTATTAAAAAAAAAATTAGTTAAAAATTTTTTATTTTATTTTTTTCTTATTTGTTTATCGGACGATTTGCATGAAACTTATACACCTGACTGCACGTATGCCTATCTGTAAAGGTACCAATTTTGGAGGAAATTGGTTGATGTCAACCTCAGCCACAGATAGCAGCACCTTAGACTTTAATATTTTAATGATTTATTTTTCAAGGAACATAAACGACTTGAAACTCTTTCATTTTTATTCAATTTACATGAAACTTACACCTTATATGTAAAGGTAATGTCTCTACAATCTGGTGCCGTTTTGTTTCCCTAAGTTCATTTATAGATAAATAGTTCATAATAGCAATAAACATGATATATTTGCATAATTTTGGAGGGAACTTTGACTATTTGTATTAGGAAAACTAAAGATGTATTGGAAAATCCCCCACTACAGATCCTTTATTATATGCCAATCTGTCATAAAAGTGTCATAGAATAATTATATCTGAAAGGTGTGGTTTCAAGTCGCGTTGAAATGTGTAATATTCGTTGAAAAAAAATTAAATCTCCCTTTCTATTTAGGTTGCAGTACTGAAACTTGGAACAATTGCAGCCCTTTTCATATACAACTAGTCAAAAAAATTTGGTTGACATTGAACAACTTTCATTTTCCAATCTAATGGCCCCTAAGTGAGTGTTGTGTGCGTTTGATATTTGAGTTAACTAGGATGCTACAAGAGAGTACCAGTGGGACTTGCTTCTCTGCATTATGCTTAGTCTTAAGATATCTACATAATGCATATTACCTATTGACGAAGTGTCGTTTCCTTTTCTTACTTCTACGATATAAATATAACTGCATCAACATTCTCAAGAAAATGAAAAATGTCTCAATATGACCGAGTTTATAGGGTCTGTTGTTTAAGACTGAACAATATTCATGTCAATTACGTCACTTTTCGGCTGGTTGATTGACACAATAGGGGGATATAATTTTGCAATTAATAAAATACAATTATATGATATAAAATTGTAATTAATATAAAATTGTAATTGATGACATACTAACGTTAAATGATTAATCCAGAAAGTATTAGCAACTGTAATTAGTTGCTGGATAAAGTACACTTAAACTGAGAACTTAGCGTAAATAAATGCAGGGAGCACTGCAGTGGACGACCTAAACACTAAGAGGCGCAGGTGCAAGAAGCAACTTGCACTTGCGAAGATCTGCAACATAACGAGAAGATGAACAAGACGCATATAACAAAAGAAACACAAATGGTAAGGCTTTGAAATTGAAATAAGTTTATTGAGGTAAAATACACACAAAGGGATGAGGTAGCTCAAGCTATTCTCACCCCATTAAATGGTAAGGCTTGCAGAGGCCAGCGTGACATGACGGACATGTACCCAGGCTGCAGCTAACACCCGACCTCAGACCATGTCCATTCCATCCAGTGGTCGACCCACAAAGACGCATTCGTCAATTTTAACATACTGTTCATTCAAAATAGGAATTTTCTCAAATATATATTAATTTTGTTATATATCAGCATACGGTGCATATTTAGGCATTGGTTAGGTGTTTAGGTTCTGTTGCCAATTATTTGCATTTGTAGTACGTGGGTGAAGAATTTACAGCGTTGTGGTTTGAACAAATGTCGTCAGCAAAGTACTTGGAAGTGTACCGGAAGTCTAGAAGTGTTCGGACGTCATCAGTTGAGAGCCGTGTGTAATCCGTTTTTAATTCATAGACATGGCGTTTGGCAGGTGCATGGAATGGACTTTGGCCTTCGTGTATTAGGACGGGCTGCATTGGGAATTTAATGTGAGCCGGGTGAGGCGTCCGGCGAAGCTCTATGAAACAGTACTTAACATAAGATAATGGACGAGGCAACTAAGAACCTAACCTTAGTGCTGAGAGCCGTGTAGAGATGAGGAGGAAGGGCGTCTGGAAGAGGACGAGGTGGCGTGGCTGACGAGGCCTGAGCGCGCGGGCAGCCATCTTGCATGCTGAGCCTCTCCGGCCCGACATTCATACTTAACTAAACACGGGCGACAATTAACCGTTACTTTTTTCTTAGTGTTACTTGTTTCTTATTTCTGTTATATTTAGGTGGAATATGAGTATTTATGACTCGTATGTTCGCTTCAATACTGTTTGAACCATTCAGCCGAAAACCCGAGCGTCTTCGACACCTTCATTTATTGTTATATAAGACAATAAGATGTATAGCTGTACATCTTATTGTCTTATATAACAATAAGATGTACATCTGTTATATAAGATGTACATCTGTATATTTGTATGCTGCAGGAGATCGGAAGAGAGTTTCTTCCAAACTTCAAGAATCCTTGCTGGTATGAATCAAGAAAAGATCGCCACGAAGAGGGAAAGGTTACGAATTTTGATGGTACCTCAACCAAACTGTCTATTTTAAAGTAAGTGGAGTTTAAGACTATTTAGGTGTCCTTCAAGTTTTTATATTCATATGTCCCTTTAAAACAAGGTTGCCACAATTTATATTGCTGAAAGTAGCGAGCTTAAGGACAAAGAGTAGAAAATTTTTAATAAAAGTAGCCAAATATGTTTTTTATCGTTTGATACGCTTTTCAGATTAAATAGCCCAGCTTATTTTAAAAGTAGCCCCAAAAATTGTAAATACAATACTGTAGCGATGTACAGTTCACAGCTGTCTTTTTACTTAGGCTATAAGGAGCCCAACTGGGCTACTTATAGCCCAATCTGGCACCCCCTGCTTTAAAACACGGTGGTAATTCACTACTCGCCTATACATACCATTGTGTGTGGTGTCAAAAACTAGTTGTGCCTGCCTGACCGAGTATCAGCTCTTGGGACCCACTTTTTTCGCTGTCGATTGTGCACTGCAATGTCTTCAGACAGTGCACTGCACTGCACTGTAATGGCTTCAGACAGCAGAATTTGTTCACATGTACATTTAAACCTATGCGTGATATCCTCGGCTATCTCCCCCCACCCCTCAAGTTCATTTAATTTGTTCGATACTTAATAAGATATATTTACCCTTACACTAAACTGATTCTGTGGTTCACTTGTGTCTATACTCTATAGCATCCACCTCCCTCGTGTCTTTTATTCACACTAAACATCCTTCTTGGAATTTATTCTGAATTGACATTAATTTTTGGTTTGACTGGGCTACATTACTCTCTTTTCCAGGTAAAAAATTAAACTTTTGAATATGCTATATTGCATAGTTGGTCTACATAGGCTATATGATTCACCTTTTACAAGGCACTCAAGTCGTTAATTCTTGTTTAATTTTGTATTTAGTTCTAATAAGTTACACAGTTGCCCATAGTATTACTTGTAATATTGCTCATACTTGTTTTCTCTATTAACTGAGAGTGGTTGTTCTTATTAAGACAGATGTAAGTTGGTGAATGACCTTACTTTAACAAGGTTGAGCTTAAAAACTGAAAGACACTGATAACAAATTTTTAGACCCATATTACATGTTTTCGGTCCATAAAATTACCCAAATTTACCAAAATTTGGGTAGATTTGGATAGATTTGGGTAATTCTATGGACCCCATGTGTTAGCTCTAACCAATTCAAGCCACATTTATTTCAGCCAGTGATCAGGGGTTGGCTAATTTTATTGTACCTCTTGTTTGGATTTAATTAGGAGTTGGACACAATAATATAAATACCTGTTTCTATACAGTAATTTCATCCATGTTACAAGGATCTCACATGATCAACCATTCCTTTTCAGACACCATTATGAAAGACAGTCAGATAAGATACTGCGCTGCCTTCCATACTTCTTTTTAATAGGCCAACCCAAATGTGCTACAACTGATGTTTTCCAGAGAATTAACATTCACCCTGATGTTGTAGAACCCATAGTGAAGGGACCACACTGGTGGACGAGAAAAAGATATGGTAAGTTTTGAAAAGCATTTCCTATTCCTTAAATTATTTTCATTCCATAGCAAACTCAACTGTATCCAGACAACATAAAGCATCATGAAAACAATTATGAGAGCAATGTAATGGAATTGAACATAAATTCTTGGTCACCAAGATGCATAGTATAGTACATATATGTGTGTGCTATACTAGGCCTAGGAATATTTAAGTTTGGTATTTAGTTTTATTTTTTAAAATTATATAGTGAATAGTACCAAATTCAACTATCTAATTGTCCATTATGTGTATGTAAATACGATGGTCCACATAGTTACAAAAAGTACTATCTAAATAGGATGGGTTGAATTAGCATATTGCAAAACTGTAAATAAAAAAGTAAAATAATTTTACTCTCATTATCATTATTGTTAGTCATATTATAAGGTTTATCTGCTAGTGTTTAACACAGTAATATATTTATAACTGTTATGTTAACTCTGCCAATTTTTTTAATACATCATGTAAAATTATACAAAAAATTAAAAAAAAAAAAAAAAAAAAATTTTTTTTTTAATTTTTAAAAACTTTAAAATTCCCATAGTGCAACAACACAATTCATTACTGTTGTTATTGTTTCTATTTTGCTCTTCTCATAGCCATAAGACATGCTCCAAATGCTTCACATAGTTAGGGGCTTCATAAGGTCTACAAATTATAAATGCACACACCAACAAAATAACATTAACACATGTACTCTATTCCTTCTTACTAAAACTGTTTGGTTTATAATGTATGATTATAAGCACAATTTTTTGTATTTAATTTTGTACATGTATACTGTACAAGTAATCAAACTAAATATACTGTGTTCTTTTACTCAGGACAACCATATGCTTCTCAACCAGTCACATTCTCAGAATATCTAGATGTGTTTAATGCCACCAAAATAGAAGAAGGAGGGAAAAGGTGTAAAGAGGATCCACACAAATTGTGTCATGAAAAGATCACTGGAGATGGAAGCACATCCACTCTGTGGGACAGCAGCCCATCTATGAATTATCTGTATAGAATAATGTCGGGAAGTATGCGAGAGTCCATTAGTAGAAGTTTACTCTCAAGGCGCCATGTATCACATTCGTTTCTTGATAAACACTCGTATATGGAAGTGAACACAACAAAGAATCCAAAATCAAAAGGTTATATTGAAAATCTACAAGTAATTAAGTATCCTAATTATTATGGACCTGAAGAGGGAGTAGTCCTCCCTTTCACAGTCGCTGATGTTATACACTCCATTCTTCCAGGATCTAGAATCATTGTAGTGATTCGGGAACCAGTGTCAAGGTATGATGCATTCACTGTTCAGTTTTCTATATACTGTATATTATTTATTTATTTATATATATCACTAAGAACCCTAATTGACCCGGCCAGGATTCAAACCCATGCCGTCCAGGATCACCTCTAAACGTACACAGTACTGTGGCCACCTCACCAATGATCGTCTATAAGGATTGATCAGTCCTGGTGCTTATTAACTAAGCTCCACAACTGATCAACCCCCGACAACACTCATGGTTCCATTTGGGCACAGTTTTCATCAAAGTCTGGCACATGCACAGGCCGCGCTGAGTTTTACAAATGTGAGAAAGCTGCAGGAACACGCAAGCCATAGATAACTAAGAACTCTAATTGACCTAGCCAGGATTGTGGGTTGATCAGTTGTGGAGCTTAGTTAATAAGCGCATCAAGATCAAAAACAGGAAATTTCTGAAATTAAACATTCTCATGTTAGTTCTTGGTATGGAGTTTTACTCAATTTGCACATGCTTCCAACACCCTTGTCTTCATTTGCAATTTTTTGGGTCTACTTATTACTGTTTTCCTTCAAAGTTTAAATTTCCTTCAAAATTTCACCAGAAGTGATTTTAGACATGATTAATGTTACAAACTCAAAGAGGAACTTTCTGAACCTTTTATTATTATTATTATTCCCTCAGTTAATACTGTATTTTCCTAATAAAAAACATCAAATCCAACACAAAAAATGTTGACCCTAGGCAGGTCATGGAGTTTGCTCAGAAAGACCACTTTTCACATTAACTCAAAGCCTTATTTTCCTTTATTTTTCTGCAGTATTTCTGTCTTAATGTTCTCCCCTTTATTTAAGCAAATATACTAGTGTATTTTTTTTTATGTTCTGCTAACTGTTCTATTCAATTCCAGACTGTATTCAAGTTACCTTTTCTTTACCAAGAAAACTAGTGTATCTCCCGAAAACTTTGATGAGAATGTTAAAAACTCAATAAAGAAATGGCACGACTGCACCCGACAGTATTCGGAGAGAACTTGTGCATACAACAAGACATTACAAAATAGCTTGGTAAGTTTTTGATCTTGAATACTGCCACCAGGAGTGGCTAGATTATTGTACAGTTGGCTCAAAACAATCCAAAACTCAATACAGTACTTTATACTGTATTTAATTATTTGTGAGTAGAACAAATATCCAATAGCAACAGTTATCTGGTTAAACCAAACTGAAGGAAGAAGAGGTGTTCACGACAGTAAAAGTTCTGGACTCACATGCCACTCAACAATGTGAAAAAGGTTTACACTCATTTTACATTTTCTCAGTTACTTGTTGCATTACAACTATCAATTTGTTCTCTTGATATAATGTATTTCCTTGATAATGTGGTGAAACATAAAAACATTCAGAATTTTTATTTCATTTTGTTAGTGGATACTTATGCATACCAAGGGAGGTATGCATGTGTACATTTTATTTATTTATTTATTTATTTATATATATATATATATATATATATATATATATATATATATATATATATATATATATATATATATATATATATATATATATATATATATATATATATATATATATATATATATATATATATACCATATTGTATGTACAATATTTTTTTTTTTGCAGGGAGTACGCCTATATAATGGTTTATATAGCATATTTCTCCGTGACTGGTTGGAGGTGTTCCAGCAAGACCAAGTTTTAGTACTGAGGATGGAAGATTACCACCAAAACATAACTAAAACGATAGCTTCTATCTATCATCACCTTGGTTTAAGTAAGTAATTTTAAAACTACAGTAGATAATTTTGTTATGTCTTTTTTCTTAATGTGTTCCAATTGAAAGCTGTTCTTTATATATTAATTGCAAAAATGATATATTTTCATTCAATCTGCTTTAGTTATGGCAAGACTTCTATAGATCTGTTGTCATCACATCTGGTTTAGCATGTCTCTGTGAAGCATCTTTATACTCAGTGGTAGAGATGAAGGTTGGGCAATAATGACAAGGACTGTAAACACAATTCTTAGGAAATTTACCTGTACTGTATTGTCTTATGAAATCTGTGCAATGTGGCTTAACAATTATATGAAGTGGGTCTTGATGGTCTCTGAGAAGTTAGCAAACTACACTGCAGCTCATAGATAATGAGCTGGTAAATAAACAATCATCCACTGCATAATTTGCAAAATAAGTTCAACTCTGGTGCACAAAATTTTTCCAGCATACCTGTGTTATACTCCATGCACCAATGATGGGGCTGTTTTAATTTATCCTAATGGAAGCCCCACTATCCCATACATATGTGAAAAAATGTGAAACTTACTTTTATAGTTTGAAAACCTAATCTGTTAATTAATCTAGAGATGCATGAAAAAAGAACAAAATTTTACTGCAGCACATTGGATACTTTTACAGATACCTGTTAACATATTTGAATGGGATGGACGTTCGTGTGGATGGACAGAAAGATGGACAAGATGGCCGGCTACATTTGTAATTAGTGAATAAAAAATCAGCGTTGAATGTAATGAAACGCCATTTTCTGGGTGAGCCCCAGAGGCTTCCCTGGAGCTATCGGGCTAATACGTGATACATTAAACCAGGGCATTAGTCTATAGAGTTCAGCCTACTGGGGACCACGAGCCAGAACCTGGCCCCCCTCAGGCAGGTACAGGGAGCAATGGCCTCTGAAAACCCCCCTGTGGTTAGGGTTTTTCCTCATCTGCCATCGACCTGGGTTAAGCACCTATAAAGGTAGGCATACAAAATAAACTCCACATGGTAAGAAAATTACAACTAAAAACAAAAAGAGAGGCAGAACTCCCTCCAATCCCAAAAATAACAACCAAACGTCACACTCCACCGCTGCGTTGCTCATCCGTGCAGCCCTCCCCTCCCCGAGAGGGAAGTGCGAGCCCTGGACCTCCTCGTGCCGGCTACCTAGCACTTCAGTTCGTTCGCTAATTTGGTCCAGGGTGGACGTCTTCTCTGGCCTCGAATTCCAAGCTGTTTGTTCAGTTGCAGTGTTCTCCTTCTTTTCTGGCGAACAACAAGATGGCTGCTTTCCGGAGGGGGTCCTTAGGTCATTGATGCTTGGTTGGTCAGGCCGAAGGTGCATCATGGGTTGTGTTCGGTTGCGGCTCTTTGCCGTTATCTGTGCGCTTCGACTTCGGTGGCTGGGGATGCGCTTCGGCTTCGGTGGCTTAAGGATGTGCTTTGGGTTGATCCGGTTTCCCTCGTTCCCTGTTCCAGGGCTCGGGTCTCCCAGGTCATTCGCAGGGTTGTTAAGGCTAGCCAGCCTGCGGTCTATCCTCGTGCCCATGACGTTAGGAAGTTTGCTGCATTGGCTGCCGTGTTTGGCAACATGTCCAGGCCTGATATTCAGGCGCGAGGATTTGGGAGGTCGAACAGGGTCCTGGCCACCTGTTATTTGGTTAACATTCCTGATCCTGGGCATTCATGTGTTGCTTTGGGTCGCAGGCTGCAGCCAGTTGTCTCTACTTCATGTTGAGGAGTGTGGGACGGCCACCTCCTGGGTTTTCCCTCTTTTCCTTGTCTTCGGTTATGTAGCTCCAGGGAACCGTAGGGGCTCCTCACAGAAAACCAGCGTTGAATGTAATGAAACACCATTTTCTGGGTGAGCCCCAGAGACTTCCTGGCAACCCTCTCTCCATGGTAATTTCTTTATGTATCAAATAGTTGTTATCACTCTGCGGTGTGTACCATATCTCGAAGTCAGAGTACAGTACATATCATCCAATAATGCATAAACTTAAAAGACAAATTTTGGTGGGAATAAGCTGTATAGCTTTAAAACATTTTTTTTGTCATGGCTACTCTCTAATTCATACTCCTAAACTTTCCCTTTCTTTATTAATGGCTAAGGCACTTTTTGTCTTTCCTTCTTCATGGTAGGGTTTTACACAATGTTAGGTAAAAAAAATGCAGCAGTAATAATCACATCAAAATGCAAGTGTTGAGATATGTTTGTCAATACAAATCAAAGATAGAATTATATTTTTTTATTTTATCTCTAGTTGCAAAAAAAATATTTGTTTACATACAGTGCAATCATATCAATAGAGCAGATAACTGGAAATTTATTTATGTGGATAACAGTGCTAAAGTTAAGTACAGAACAGTTTTACAAAGCCACTAGAACACACACACACCATTTATGGAAAGTCTTAAAGCTAACAAAATGATTGTGTTATAAAATACTTTACTGAATGGTCAGTAATTTAAGGGTTTAAAAATACAATTCAATAAATCTTTTGCCGACTCGTAAAACTAATGAATATTTATTATTCTCATGTTGGAACTGTAGTTTGGATAATAAGAACTGTGAATCAGTGGTATCATAATTAATGTATAATGTGGAGAGCAAGAGTATGGTGAGGTGCTACAGTGAGGCAATTAGGTGCTTCCTAATGTTACTTAAAAAACTGTAACTTAAATATTGAACAGTTCTTTACTATGCTAGGAAGGGAGTGCCATATTTTAAGTCCCTTTGTTTGCATGATGTGTTTGCATAGATTGAGTCAGACTCTGGGAAATGTCAGAGAGAGATATACAGTATATTTATTGTGTGATGTTTATGGGTTCTATTACATCCTTCTAGGAAGAATTTCAAACCTGGGTTTGCATTTTAATTCTATAGGGTCTTGTAAATGTACAGATAACAAAAGATTGAATTGATTGTGTGTGTGTTTAGTATTGCTCACAGATTTGAACAATAATGATGTATATTAACTGAATACTGTACATAATTTGTTATGGTTTAAGTGATCAGTGTTTGTGTGATAGGTGTAGCTAATAAAACAACCTAGATAGATGGATGAAACGTCAGTTTTTGTAGGATACAGAGGATAACAAAAATAAATATTAATGTGCATATTAAGTGAATGACTATTCCCTCATGGATCTACTGTAAAGAGTTATATTTTGCAGCCAGGCAAGTTTTGCAAAATATTATTGTCCATGATGTTCTTAGATGTCAAGGCCTAGGACTAGCTTGACATGTCATATCTCGCCATTCTACAAAAAATTATTGACTGTCAAGAATGCTTTATCTGTGCCTACGATTATTAAAGTAGCACTAGGTTGGACAACTGACTACCTCTAATTTAATTTTTATTTTTTTTACAGGGACATTAACTGGGGAAGAAGAGAAGAGGGTGAATATGGCTCCAGTTCGCAACAAGAATTGGAAAAAGCCCAACATCGGAAGGATGCTTGAATCAACTGAAAAAGTTATCAGAGAATTTTACAAACCATACAACCAAGATCTGGCTATTCTTTTAAAAGACTCAAGATTTACATGGCATGATATTTATTTAAGGGTAAGCTATAGTTAAAATTTGAAAATGTTTGCATTGTACACCTATGTTTAGTTACCAGTTTCACTTTAAAGTATGGTAATCACACAGGTTATATAACTCTTGCCTTTCTAGAAAATGTAAATTAAAGTTACTTAATCTCTCTTCAAGGGTCTTGGTAGTACAGTTGGGTTCATTCTCGACTCACAATCAGGAATCCTAGATTCAAATTCCAATCAGGACAGAAATGATTAAGCACATTTCCTATTTCCTATTAGCCACTGTTTACCTAGCAGTAAATAGATAACTGAGAGTTAGTCAATTGTTATGAGGGTTGCATCCTGAAGAAGGTCAGTAGTTTGATCTTGGGGGACCTCGATCTAAGCCTAAGGTATATACAGTACAGTACATACACGGGCTTCCTGTCCATGACAAAATTAATTTTTGGGGAGGATTCAAATTCCTGTGAATAACTTTGTCATCTTTCTATGTACACATTCAAGTTAATTTATGCTCATTCTATATTACAGTTTGAATATTTTAAATTTATAATATTTTGATTACTGTCGTATTGTATTATTACTCTAAATAATCATTAGTGTCCTGGGTAAATAATCATCACCACCATCACAGTCCCATTGTTCACTTCCATGGGATAGGAAGGCACTTGGTCTTTACTGGGGAGAAGATAAGGATGGATCCCAAGCTTTATCTCCTTGACCTAATGAGGACAGGAAGCTGGCAGCTTGTCAAAGGTTCCCCCATTTGTCCTGATGATTTTACTGAGCTTGATCTCAGATTGCAGCAGTGTTTTGTCATTTATGGCTTAGTCGAGTAGGCTATACATGCCAATATTTCCTAAAGGGTGGCACTGGGAATTATCCAGACTAGCCTGTGATACTCCCATACCCCCCCCATGTGTCATCTTGGAAAGTTGGGTGAGGGCTAACCCCAAACATCAAGACATTCTCTTTTATAAATATAGATATACTGTATATTGATACTAGAGGGGATACCTAGCTGTGCCCAGATCTTTGTCCCTCCTCCCACTCCCCATTCATCCTCTCTCTACTTTTCTCTCCAACATCTTCCCCTCTCTCCTAATCTCCACATTTCTCTTCTAACATCCCAACATTTCTCTTCTACCTTCTTCTTCCTCTCCACCTTTCTCCCCTCATCTTCCTCTCTCACTCAGAAAATGCAATATTGAAATTGGGAGCAAGCATCAAAATTCTAAGGAAAGAACCACTAATTTTATTTCAGCCTTAATCAAAATTGCAGGGGGTCACTACAGATGCTGATATTTCTTAAGGTGTGGCAATGGGGCTGATGCCTACTGGCCACTCCCATACCTTCCTTAGTCATCTTGGAAAGTTGGGTGAGGCTAGCCCCAAGCATTTGACCTCAAAACACTAACAGACATCCTTTTTTATGAACATATAAATTTCATTGATGTGGCTCTTCACTATCACTTTTCTTGATAATTTGATTACATAAAAAAAGAGTATTACTACAAATTTAAAATTAATATAAAAAAAAGTCGAATTATCCAAGCATATGATGAAAAATTTTAGTATAATATTTACTGATTGATAATGTGAAATATATTTTTCATATATTTTGTCACTTTATTTTCAGAATGAAGAGCAAAATGCTGGCTAAGCAGTGTCAAAACTTTCTGGCTTAGAATTTGTTGGCCCACTGGATATTTTTAGAAGCTATACTTGAAGCATGTGGCATATGATATTTAAATCCAAAACTAAAAAACTAAGGGCATGTTTATTATAGAAAAATTGTACTCTAGACTAATTTTGAGCAAAAATGTCTATTAATTTTGACATCAAAATAAATTTATTATTTATAAAACTTGCATATACCATATAAGAATGCCCTAAAAAAAAACAGCATTGAATGTAATGAAACACCATTTTCTGGGTGAGACCCAGAGACTCCCGGGAGCTTATCTAGGCTGATATGCTAATGTCAAACTTTGGCATCAGTCATGTGTATGGAGTTCTGTGGGCCTACCGGGGACCACGAGCCAGAACCTGGCCCCCCTCAGAGAGGCATGGGGAGCAATGGCCTATAGAAACCCCGCTCCCGTGTGGTTGAAAGCATTCTATGTCTGCCATGGACCAGGTCAGGCACCCAGAAAGGTAAGCGTCCAAAAATAAACCCCCTATTCTGGTGAAGATTGCTACCAAAAGCCGAATAAGTGGATAGAACTCCTCAAAAAGAAACGAGCAAACGAGCATGACGTCACACGTCGCTGTGACGTCATGCTCGTGTCAGCCCCATTTTAACTGTACCACCACCATCATTACTGTGGTGGTGTGCTGTCTCTCTAGTTCACTGTACGTCACGTCGCCGACCGGAGGGAGGGAGGGATGCCGGAGAGCCTCCGGGTTCACCCAGAAAAGGCAACAACAGCATGGGGCAAGATGACGACCTCAAACCTCCACAAGGGAAGGACCAGACCATGCCAAGAAAACATAGCAAACCAACGAAGGGACAGAAAGAAAAAGGAAGGACCGCCAAGTAAAACACCACACCACCGCCAAGACGAAGCACGCAGGTGGGACACCATCAACTATGTCACCTGACCAACAACAGATGGTTAGATACTCGAGGCAGAACCAAACCAGCCCCGCCAGGGACTGATTGAGTATAGGAAGAGGCGGAGCCGCGAGAAAACCTCGGGTGCGACCACCGAGCAAGCAGAGCCGGAACCCAAGCCGGCAAGGAATGAGAAGGAACGAGAAGGAACGTCTGCCGTACAGAAAACTTCCCAAATGATAGGAGATCGGAGACACTGTGGTCTCGATGCGAGACTCGTGAGAAGTGATACCACAAGATCCGGAAAATGCCGAGTGGCAGGGTAATCCAGGAAAACAGGAACCCAAACCTGGCAAGCCGGGAATTACTGTCTTTGTCAGACGAACAAATATTGAGAAGCGGGACCAAAGAGCCAAAGCTCAATCCCTGCAAGCACAGCTAGGTAAGGACAACTAGGTGAGCACAGAGAATCCAATGTATATGGAAGGGCTAAGCCAGGTACTGCAAGACGGGCAAGGAAAGAGTGACCCAGATAAGACCACGAAAAACATGGCCGTGACCCACCGTGTAACAAACAACACAGACGAACAAGGAAGGCCCCAGGAAGAAGCACGCCAGGGCCAAACAAAACGCCACAACCAAACCCCAACACGGAAACCCAGTATCAAGCCACAGCAAAATGTCACCACAGAACATCCTTACCCATGTACCTCTACCAATGTACCTCGTAACATGGCGAAGGTGGGGCCCCCGTGATTGACTCGAAGCATGTGACGAACATGTATATGAGTGGGACCAGATGGGTATAAATAAGAACTGCCTCATATGGGCCAATAGGCCCTCTGTAGTCACCTTCGTCTTATGGTTGTAAATTCATAGCCACGAACCAGGGCCTGGTCGAAAGAGAAGCCAGACTGCATAAACTCGCTTGCAGAATGTAGACACGAACGTGGCATGACACAGTGTAGCTGAGAGGAGTCCCAGAGCACCGCCAGAGGAAGAAGGCCAGAGCCGCACCCGCAGGAGAATAGTAGGGTAGAGACGAAGGAGGCACCCCACACCAATATGCAGGGAAAACCCAGCGTCCTCCCCATAACGGCAACTCAGAACACCCCCAGCATCTATGGGGCGCGGACTGGAGAGACGAGAGAAGCGAGAGAGGCGAAGCCCCTGAGAAAACAAGGATGCGGAACACCAGCACTTGTGTACACCGTCCACAACAAAACAAACTCCCACGACGCATGAGGTCCGAACCACACAACCCCACCCAGTGGGGAGGGCGCCAACAAGGAGTATCGCAAAATATTAGCAGTGCCTAGACAGAACACGGAGAGAAGATATAGTGCCAAAAGAACGAGGCAGTATAAAAAAACAAGAAGCACAGAAGAGGACCAATGAGTCCAAAAAGGACCGGAGGTAAGCCTTACCGGAAGACGACATGTTCCAATAATGCGGGAAGAAATAAAGACCTTCCCGAACCCCTGAGACCTCACAGAAGCAAACAATATCACGTAGGCTCAGAAAGGCACAGTCTCATCTGAGACCAAAAGTCATGAAGAAACCCCAATAACAGGGGAACATGACCTCTCCATGACGGAGAAGTCCTGTTCCAGAGAAAAGGGGGTATAGAAACGGAGAAAACTACCCACCGATAGGACGGAACCGAATGGACCCAAAGGGACAAGCATCCGAGCCTGGGGAGGGGCCGACGCCCAACAAATTGTACGCAGAGGGGAAAAGGAAAAACCCCACTCCCCAAAACCGCAAGACCCGCATTGAGGGTAGAAAACCCCAGCGGGGTCCAATGGGGCCCGAGGTCTCCCAAGTCAGCCCTTCCCCAACCCCAGGAACCTCCATGGCAGGCCCCAGGACCGAGTCGTCCCCCGAAAGCCCCAGCCTCAAAAGAAAAGGCCGGGCAGCCGGAAACTTACTAAGGAAGGGAGCCCACTGGCAGACTCATACAACCCGGCTGGAGGAACAGGCTCGTAAGCCTCTGTCGCTACACTGGAAGGGGAAACCCCCGAGACTGCCCGAGTCTCAAGACCATCAAATCCCCACCCCGATCCCGAACCCACAGACGGAAAGGATCCGGATGCAGGGAAGAAGGGTGGGGGGGGGGGGGGCCAAACTAAACCACAACAAGGGAAAGACAAGGGGGGTGAGGAAGGAACAAAACCAAAGCAACCAACACCCCCAAGCCCCGTCACAACAACCAAAAACGGGGCAGCCTTGGGGCTTCCGGGGAGCAAACAACCTAGCGCGTTGCCATCACCTGAACTCAACGGGCAATGCCCGTGCTGCCTGCACCCACATAGTCAGCATAAGACCGGGTAAGCGAGTCACAAACAAGCAAGCAACGAAACTCGCAGGACTCTGGGTCAAAGGTGCCACCAACCCCACAGGCAGCAGACGGAGGCAAAAACAAAGAGAGTCACTCTGAGACAAGGGGACACAGCAACCCTCGAACTCGCACAAAGCAAAGGGGGAAAGGGGGGACTCAGGGGTCACATCCATCGGACCCACGTGCCCCCATGGGGATTCCCAGGGTCCTGAGACAGAATTCACGCTCAGGGAAACCCAGGCAGGGTACTGCTAACCGGAGCTCAAGTCTACCAAACAACCTTCTAAAAACTGAACCCCTGGGACATGAACACTCACGGGAACCTAGCAGGGAGCACCACCAGAAGAAAACCGTATTAGGTCAAATACCACGGGGCAAGCAAGGCAGAACCCCCACAAGGCACAAACAGAAAGAGAAACAAAACCCCGCAAGAGGACAACATACCCAAAGGAACAGAACCGGCCACTATGAATGGTGAAAACAAGCTGTGCAGCACCCTGTGCCTTGTACCAGTGCAAACTGCCTCTTACCCTTAGATAAACAAGGGAGACAAAACACCCAAGCACCCAAAGGGCTGCCAAAAAAACGAGCAGTGAAACAGCCCAGCAGAGGCAGGACCCAAAGAACTTGTGGAAGGTAACCCCAAGCCCCAAGGGCAGTACTTACAGGGCACTTAGGGAAGGGAACCCTAGGCGCAAGCAGCCCGAGTGCTGTAGAATAACTCCTGGCTCTTGCACCCCTGGAAGACAGCCACCACACTCTAAGCACAGTGCTGAAAATCACTGGAGCCAGAGCACACGACCTCTGCTTCTAGCATCAGCCTTAGAACTGAAGGGTGGATAGCCGGCACGAGGCTCTGGGGCTTCCCCTTCCCCCTCCCGGGGAGGGGGGACCTGCGCAGACAGCGGCGCGGCGACGTGTGACATCATGCTTGTTGTTTGTTTCTTTTTGGAGAGTTCTATCCACTTGTTCGGCTTTTGGTAGCAATTTTCGCCAGAATAGGGGGTTATTTTGGGACACTTACCTTTCTGGGTGCCTGACCCGGCCGATAGCAGACAGAATGCTTCCAACCACATGGGGGTTTCCATAGGCCATTGCTCCCCATGCCTCTCTAAGGGGGTCAGGTTCTGGCTCGTGGTTCCCGGTAGGCCCACAGAACTCCATACATATGACTGATGCCAAAGTCTGACATTAACATATCAGCCTGGATAAGCTCCGGGGAGCCAATGGGGCTCCCCCCAGAAAAGCTAGACATTTATTGTGTTTTCGTCTGGTAATGAAATCTTTTTTATTTGTTAATTTAATTAAATTGAACAAAATTATGTTAAGTGTGAATGTATTTTATTTTGATGATTCGATTTGTATGCATGTTCACGTTACTGTATTGATTTTGATGTATGGTGCTCATATTTTTAAATTTTAAATATAATAATTTTGTATGTTATGGAAGAAACTGTTAAAGAGACAGATAGGGCTGAAGCTCCCAGAATTATTTTAAACAATGTGTAATCTAAGCACAAGCTAAACTAAGGACATTAGCTCAAGCATAATTATTTATTCTGTTCATACATTCCACATTATTACATATAATTTAATGTTAATGGTCAAATATTTTAACATGTGAATTGACAGGTTCTTCAGAATAACGTAATGGTACTTATAGATATTCTTTGTAAAAAGAAAACATATAGCCTCTGGGAGGTTGTTTAATAATTACTAAATGTATTGATGCATTACTGGTAAATGTTTCTTAATGAAACTGTTAATGAAAGAATTTATTTTTTAATCAAATTTTTTAAAATAAAAATGATCATTAAAATGTTATATTTTTATCACTTCAAAATGTCACTTAAAGGCGGAGCATTAAGTGAATGTAACTTTCTTTTTCCGAGTCAGTACCTTGGTCGTTTCCATAGCCACAGCCTATATAGTACAGGTATAAAGTTAACCCACAACAACATTTACCACAGGGCTCTGTGGACTTTACATACCACTGTGGCCAGACTTTTGAAATGGTCTTGCCAGGTATTTGGGGCAAGGAGACAATGGAGAATCTTTCTCATTAGACTGACTTGCTATAATACTAAAGAAACATTATACACTCACTCTCTAAAACCCCTTTCCAAGAGATAACTGAAAACCCAAGGTGCACTAAAATTGTAATTCCTCTGAAAATGATTGCATCCAACACAAAACTAATGAGACTAAGTGCTAGGGCCTGAGAAGCTGGCATCTTGTGCTTAATGCTATAACCAATCATCCAACATGCAAAAAAAAAAAAAAAAAAAAATCTCGGACAAAAAAGGGAGGGATTGGGAGTGACTAAAGCCTGCCCGGCTGAGAGGACAGCGTTTCGGATTCGTAGTCCTGAGGTTCCGGGTTCGATCCTCGGTGGAGACGGAGATAAATGGGCAAAAAAATTATTTCACCCTGATGCCCCTGTTACCTAGCAGTAAATAGGTACCTGGGAGTTAAACAGCTGCTACGGGCTGCTTCCTGGGGGTGTGTAACAAAAAAAGGAGGCCTGGTCAAGGACCGGGCCGCGGGGCCCGGTCCTTGACCGGGCCCCGGTCATATGTATATTGCACGCTAAGCCTCGAAATCATCTCAAGATAACCTCAAGATAACGTATTAATTTTGAAAAGACCACTTTACTCCAATTCTAAGCAAAACACAATATACAAATCAAATATGGATAAAAATTTAATATTGAAAAAATAAAAACTACTTGAAACAAGACATAATAAACTAAGTCTGGTTTATAACAAGAAACAAGTGACCGAGGAAGAGAAGATGTCATTGATTATATATGCAAGCAATAGACCTGATTGGTGCACATCACACCTCTTCACTTCCCTCTTTCCTTCCTCTCCTCATTCCCCCCCCCCCAATCTCTCTACCCTCCACCCCCCCCCCCTCTACCCTTCAACCTCAAACAGATGGACATTTCCATTTATATAAAGTAAATAATGAAAATGCATGAGTAAACAAAGGGAGTAACTTCAACACACTACAGACAACACATGCTCAATTTCATTCAGTTTCCATTTCAGACTTCATGAAAATTGCTTCAGGGTATTGGATTAAGGCTATATTTCTTAAAGCTTTTAACTACTTTAGTTAAAGATTGGTTGGCCTACCCCTAACCCATCTATGTCCGTCCCATACCCTCTACAAATTTGAGTGAGGCTGGCCCTATCTGGCCTCCAGCTTTGGACAAACATTTTCTTATAGTATACTATAGGGGTACTCGGTGGTGCCCAGGATAGTCTGCCACTCCTCCCCTATCACCCATGACCCCATCCCCTTGGTCTTCTCTCCCCCCCCTTCCCATTTCCTTGGTCCTGCCCCCTCCCCCCTTCTCTCATAAAATGTATGGGTCTCTTATCCTCCCTCTTCTCTCTCTTCCCCCACTTCATACCTCCCCCCCCCATTACCTTCTATCTACAATATTACTAATAACACAATAAGAGCAAGTGTCTGTATATCTATTGTGTATTATTAAATGAGGCTTAGAGAATATAATAGTTCCCCCCTTTTAAATCTGTGTGTTGGCCTGTTTTTTATGGAAGGGGAAGAAGAGGGCAGAATGTTATACATTTTATGGGAGTATGGCCTTAGTTTGAGTAGCAGGACATTTCTGTTAATTTTCCTGAGACCAGTGAATAATGGTGTATATTTCTAAAGGAAAGATATCTGTTTTGAATTTTTCCAAGTATTTTGGTAAGTGTATCTGGTGGGCAACGGCAAAAATCACTGTGGGGGTCAGAATGTGACCCCTGGCACACTGTTCCCTGGTGAATTCCTGTTGACCCTGCCAGGCCTATGTCCATCCTAGACTTTGTCCTGATCTAGACTGAATGAATAACATGTTGTGTTTGGATAAGTGGTTCATCATCCTGAAAAGTTAGGGAGAGAACAAATTTACAATATTGTTGCAGAAATTGGACAGTGTTTTGTTTGTACTTACCAATACGTATGAGAAGTTCTGATCCACTTGTTAACTTGAAGATTATAGTTCATGGAGCATGTATTTAGATAGAAAAGGTGGTGGTGGTGGATGATCACAGTATTGGGTTGACTGAAGTGGAGAGTAATGGTGATGAGGTAATTTCAGCATACTGCTTTTCATCATGTACTCTAATGTACCTAATGGAGTTGCAGAGTTTAAAGCTTCTGAGCCATCCATTTGTGTATGAACATTGCTCAAGTGGCACTGTGTATGGTCACTGGGCAAACTAGTTCCATCTTTATTGCATATTTTTATTCACACTACCTGCCCCACCAGTTATCTGAACTTTTTTATCCGAACCAACCCCAGTTGGATAACAGGCATTTGTAAAGCACGTGGCTAACCGTTTCCAGTATAAATATATATAAAGCCACTAGCATGCATAGCATTTCGGGCAGATCCTTGATTTTAATTTTCCCTGGAATACGACATGCCAAATCGTTTAACAAGCAAGTACCCATATTTACTGCTGGGTGAACAGAGGCGTACAATTAAGAACTGGCATCTAGCCAATCTTCCCCGGCCAGGATAAGAAACCAGACCAAATCGCTCACAAAGCACGGGACAATTGTCTTGCCACTGCACCAAGGGGACTGTGATACAGCTCGGAGTCTTTAAGTTCCCACTTCAAGACTTCCCAATTATTAATCTTACCTTTTCGGTCATATTTAACAACAAATGTTTACAAAAAAGACTGCTACCAAAATAAATAAATAAATAAATAAATAAATAAATAAATATATATATATATATATATATATATATATATATATATATATATATATATTAAATATATCCGAAAAAGTAAGATTAATAATTCTAACACGAATTTTCTCAATGTTTCTTACATTTCTTTTCACAGAAAAGAAATGTAAGAAACATTGAGAAAATTCGTGTTAGAATTATTAATCTTACTTTTTCAGTCATATTTAATAATAATATATGTCTACAGGAAAGACTGCTACCAAAATATACTAATTAATATTTTTTATATATATATATATATATATATATATATATATATATATATATATATATTATATATATATATATATATATATATATATATATATATATATATATATATATATATATATATATATAAAAATAGGCCAAGTTGTCTAACAAGCTGAATTTTCCTGAAATATTTAATTTTTCAATTTCTTTTTATGAAATGATTACATTCCATTACATTATAAATTATTTGAATTTTGTTTAATTTGAGTTAAAGCTAGCACAGAAATTTAATTAAACCTAACCTAACCTATCTAACCTATCATAACTTAATCTAATACAATAAAATAAAGTCAGTAACTCATGCTCTTAATACAGATACAGTACAGTATAATGATTTTAATTAGAATAAACCAATTAGGAGAGAAATATTTGAAAATAACAAAAATCACTCTGCTTGTTAGGCAAATTAGGTCTTGCATACTAGGCCAAGTAGTGCAGTTCTGGGTATTAGGTAAGACATTTATATTTTATATATTCAGTATATTGCACTCTTATGTTGAATCGAACGAGTCGAAAGCACTAAGCCGTTAACCTTTCATTTTTCACTGTGGTTATTCTGTAAATAATCATGTAAAACAGGATAAACAAAATTGTCATTATTCAATAAATTAGTGTGTATTTTCTTAATGTTCTAGTGCTATGCACAGAGAATGCCTCTTTCATCAATATCCATTGTACAAAATGCTTCTTACTGTACTATAGCTGCAGGATTAAGGGTCTGTTATATATATTCAATTTCCTATCCAGAATTTTGTTGATTAGGAATTTAACCATACAATTTACTATTATGAAAAAATAGCATCCTTTATGCATGACTGATTAAGTCAGTCAAGTTATGTGTTCTTAAGTATTTTCATACACCGTACAATAAAATCAATACTTATATCATATTTATCAGAATCAATAGAATAAACTGATCTTCAAAACTTAAAGCCATTAGAGCTTGTCTGAGATCCATTTCTTCAAACTGATGCTATGTATAAATGCATTAAAGAAAGATAACATATGATAAATAACCTTTGTAATAATATTTACATATACAGTACTGTATGTGCAATTGAAGTAACAAAACAATACTTGCTCGAGTCATATCCCAAACATATACTGTATAAAGATTTTATTCACATAACTGCCTGACTGGCTTATTATAAAAAATTAACAATGACGTTCATTATTGCATAATAACAATCAATATGGCAATATATTCTCAGACAATTGCAAAGTTAACTATATTCAGAAAAGTGTCACATGCTTTCTTCACCAAAACACAGAATTGTAAAAAGCTGTATCAACGTCACTGACAAATACTACAAAAATTTGTGAAAAATTTATTTTCTTATTAATTTTTTAAGGTTTGTGAGAGGCTGAATCAACAGCTTCACTGACAAAGACTACAAAAGTGGGGTGAAAGTTTATAGTGAAGCTTTATCAACATTATCACTGACAAATACTACAAAACTGGGTGAACATGTTGTCTATAAAACACGACAGCAGAGACCACAGTTGTGTCGACACAAGTGCAACGTATGACTAACACTTAAAGACAGTAAAGATCATGAAAAATTTGGCAGTTTTTGAGACTAAAGGAAGAGCTTCGAATGTCAGTACTCCAGCTTCAGAATTTATCTGTAAAATAAATATTTATTTATCAGTAAAATGATAATAAATCCAACTACAATATAGTACTATACAGTAAATCAAAACATATTTTCTTCTGAACAATATTATAACAATATTGAAATTTTCAGCAACCTTTGAAGTTCAGTATATGAAGGTAGCTGAAATGCCTTAGGATGATTATGAATGATGCAGTCATTAACAGCAAGAGAAGTTCCTTAAGGAAACATAGTATCAAAGATATAGTGATAAACAAATACAACTATGGTTCACACAGATACTGTAGAGTATAACACACTACAGTATTGTGAGCACAAAATTAGGAGTCAGATAATAAATGCATATCAATCTATACCATTACTAAGCACAGTGAACAGTCAAATAACAATTGAAAGGACCCATGTACAGACATTACCATTAATGCATGACCATTACCAACCATTGCACTTGTCATGATTACCACATACCAAATTCTTAGGGGTAATTGATAAAGCAGACAAGGGTAGAATATTTGGAATAGCTGGTATATGAAGAATGAAACACAAGTGGAAACAATGAAACACAAGTGCCCAAATGAGTCACAGAGATACAGTGTCTGAGTTGTGTAGTAGTGGAGGCAGACTATATACATATTTTCAAATATAGATAAGACAGTCCAATAGGCTTGAGAACCTGTATATACCAGTCAACAGAAGGTTGAGAGGCATCACCAAAAAGTTAAAACTGAATCTCACAAGGCCAATAAGGCGAGTACATTAATGACTCCAATATAGCCAAACTATGGTTAGAGCACTTTCCCTTGCAGATTTCTTATTCTTCTACATTTATGTACAATATGAAAATATTTTTTTAATTTTTTATGTTAATTGTTGGGTGTGGGTGCATATTTATTTGCATTTATCTGCTTCTTACAGTATTTTTTGAAAGCATGACGACCTTGCCAAACATCCTGTTGTTTGGAAAATATTTCTAGGCACCTTGAAAAATGTCAAACATCACATTCAAGGAGCATATATTTTCAGGCAACAAATGTCAAATATTGCTGCCAAAAGGTTAAGCAAGTAACAGAAAGGCATAACTCAAAAACATATTTTTACTAAGGTTATTTTTCTCCAGCTTACCGACAAAGAGTAGCATCAATTTGTGTAAGTGATGGGAGGGCCAGTTTGATCTTGCGACGGTAATTAGGGTCACGTTGTAAAGGATTTCCCTCTAGATAAACTGTCTGTAAACCTTTGGCATTTTCTAGCTGCTTCAAGTCATTCCATTCGCTGATCTGGTTACCATTAAACTAAAATGAAAGAAGAGTCAGCATTAGTCACATGAATATTCTAAAAGTGGAACAACTTTTCCTCAAAATGTACAGTAAAGTGAAACTTCACAGCTTCACAAGTGGATTTGTTCATGTAATGTATCACGCTATTGTGCTTTGTGTATGTATTGAAGTAAGGGGGAAGAGGTAGAACATCTGGTTGACAGCCCAGGTGCATGGGGGAATTGTGTAAAGCCCCGGTTTGTCTCAGAGAGGCTGCGGGATCCGTGTGAGGGCAGTAATACTCCCGGTTGCAAGTCTTTTACCATGTTGTGGCGCAATTGACTAAGGTGCGTCTGGGATCATCCCGGACGTAGGTTCAAACCCTCATCACGGCCCTTGTGGATTTGTTCATGTTAGTTATTGTTCATATTAAGCATGTCAGTTATCATCCAAGTTAAGCATGTTAATAATTCTTCATATTTCACCAAATCCCTCTTGAGAATCCAGATTTTATGTTGAGAAATCCAGATTCCTGAAGGAAGATTCAGTGGGCAAAATAAGTTCATTGTTTAGAGGGATTTGTTATAGAGGTCTAGATTTGGTACTTTGGATTTGGTGAACTGTACTAAAAGTTGGAAATAATATAAAGTAATTGCCATTATAGATTTGAGCTTGAGTTAACATCCCAATCTAAAAATTTACCTTTATCACATTCCTCTTTTATACATTGTACAGTACTGTATATAATAATATGTATAGGTTTATATGGCTATTTTTGCCATTACTGGCTGATATAACTGTACATACTTATGGGGTATGATGCACATGTTTCACATTTATTTATTTATTTATTTATTTATTTATTTATTTATATACATGAAGGTACATTGGGTTTGTGAGAATACATAGCATAGTATTTACAATCTTGTAAAGCCACTTGTACGTGCAGCGTTTCGGGCAGGTCCTTAATCTAACAGATAATTTTAAGTAGGTAAATTCCAGCAGAATTAATAAAATGATAACAAATACATTGCAAGAAAAAAATGAGATGAGAGAGATTAGTAAGTATATTAAAGCACATTGGTATATTAAAGCTCTGATTGATTACATTGACAGCTTGATTGGTAATTTAAACAAGATTAATAGGCACCATACAGCAGATTGATAGCACATATAAAAGACAGCAATGATCACAATGGTAAAGATGTTTGAATTGGGTACATAAAGATTGGAAGATTGGGTAGCAACAGATACAGTGCAATTTTAAAGCAACAAGGTAAAAAACTAGAAAGATGAAATTAGGTACTTTTTAGTTTTGTTTTTGAATGACTCAAAAGTTGGACAGCTTTTCAATTCATTAGGGAGTGAGTTCCATAGACTAGGTCCCTTTATTTGCATAGAGTGTTTACACAGATTAAGTTTGACTCTGGGGATATCAAAGAGATATTTATTTCTGGTGTGGTGATAATGGGTCCTATTACATCTGTCCAGGGAGAGTTTCAGAGCAGGATTTGCATTTAAGAACAGGGTTTTGTAAATGTAGTTGATACAAGAGAATTTGTGGAGTGAGATTATGTTTAGCAAGTTTAGGGAGCTAAACAAGGGGTCTGAGTGTTGTCTGAAAGCAGAATTTGTTATTATTCTGATAGCAGATTTTTGCTGGGTGATAATGGACTTGAGGTGGTTTGCAGTGGTTGAACCCCATGCACAGATACCATAATTAAGATAGGGATAGATTAGTGCATAATATAGAGAGATGAGAGCAGAGTTAGGTACATAATATCTGATTTTGGAGAGTATACCAACTGTTTTAGAGACTTTCTTAGTTATGTGTTGTATGTGGGTGCTGAAGTTGAGTCTCTTGTCTAGGAATAGGCCAAAAAACTTTCCATCATTTTTATTACTAATGTTTACATTGTCTATCTGAAGCTAAATTGCATTTATAGATTTGCTTCCAAATAAGATGTAGTAGGTCTTTTCTATGTTAAGTGTTATTTTGTTGGTTAACATCCATAAGTGGACTTTTTTTAGTTCATTATTAACAACATTATTTAGTGTATGTGGGTTGGGGTTAGAGTAGATGAGGGTAGTATCATCAGCAAACAATATAGGTTTCAGAATGTTAGAGACATTAGGCAGATCATTGATGTATATAAGAAATAGGTGGTGTCCCAAGATACTGCCCTGTGGCACTCCAACGGTTATTGGTAGAGTGGGAGAGGTTATATCATTGATGGCTACATATTGGTGTCTATCACTAAGATAGGATTGGATATAGTCCAGTGCATGGCCTCGGATTCCATAATGAAGGAGTTTACATAAGAGGTAGTTGTGATTAACTGTATCAAAGGCCTTTCTCAGGTCAATGAAGAGTCCAATCGGAAACTCAGTTTTGTCAAGGGCTGAGTAAATTATATCAAGGAGACTAATAATTGCATCGTTGGTACTCTTTTGGGAGCGGAAGCCAAACTGACAGGGGCTAAGTATGTCGAATTTTACGAGGTAGGAGTAGAGCTGTTTGTAGATATTTTTTTCAAATATTTTTGATAGTATGGGAGCCGGTCGGCCGAGCGAACAGCACGCTGGACTTGTGATCCTGTGGTCCTGGGTTTGATCCCAGGCGCCGTCGAGAAACAATGGGCAGAGTTTCTTTCACCCTATGCCCCTGTTACCTAGCAGTAAAATAGGTACCTGGGTGTTAGTCAGCTGTCACGGGCTGCTTCCTGGGGGGGGAGGCCTGGTCGAGGACTGGGCCGCGGGGACACTAAAAAACCCCGAAATCATCTCGAGATAACCTCAAGATGGGTATGTTTGATATTGGTCTATAATTGTTCATGTCTGCCGGATTACCTCCTTTATGAACTGGCGTTACTCTTGCTTTTTTAAGGATATCTGGGAAGGTATGACACTCAAGGGATTTGTTGAACAGCAGAGCTATGGGTGGCGCAAGGGCATGGGAGGCACTCTTGTATACAATGGATGGGATTTCACTGATGTTCCCAGCTTTGGTTTTTAGTGAGTGTATGATGGACATAACATTTGTGTCACATTGGTGCACATTTGTGCACCAATGTGCAGTGTCATTTGCACATGGTGCAAATGAGAATGGAAAAATGTTGAAAATTAAGAATACATGCAAACAAGAAGACATACTGTACCCAGAATTCTTCTAGCTCGGTAAGATGATTAATGTTTCCAATCTTTTTAATTCTGTTAACAGCCATGTCCAAGGTTTGAAGCTTTACATTATTGTCAAGACCTTCCAGAACCTCTATGCCATTATGAGAACAGTAAAGCTGCTCCAAATTGACGAGTCTACCAAGACCTTCAATCTTGGTTATTCGGTTACTCTGAAAACAATATTTTTCAGATTAGTACTTTAAAAATAATATATAATTAATAATGTTAGCACCTAATATCCTACTTACAACTATGTAGCAGGTAATAATTGCACTACTAATAAAACACTTCCCACTCACTCCCATCTAGTGTAAGGAATGGGCCTATTTAGACCTTAAATTATATGAACACAGGCGAATCCTTCACCAAAAATGTGTCATGTTTGAAAAAATGCCAATAGGACTCTCTCATTATATTCTAGGCTTGAAAAGACTTTTGGAGTTTCCCAGGAGAAAAGCTTGTCTGCACAAGTACAGCTTGTATTTCTGTGAGTAGGAATCTTTGAAATATATAAACATTACTCAAGTGTTAGAATAAACTGAAAAAGAACAGTGCATATTTTATTTTTTTTATTAAGTGTTAAATATAGAAATCTAGACTCATGCCCTAAGTGGTCATAAGGAGTAGGTGAGCAGCTCGAATGTGGAACTGTGACACACGTGGTCGAGATGGTTGTGATGATATTTTTGGTCTGTTCATTGATACTCATAACAGTGTAAATTATTCCAAGGGGTGGTGTTTTTAGGCTATTTGGTAAAATTAATCTAGATAGATATGACAGTAACAGTGTGTGATCCAGTTTAATAATTGATATATGCTTTGTGTGTGGTTGTCACATGTGTCAACCTGATGGAAAAATTAAGTTGATTTTATCATTTTCATGTGTTTTCCTGTGACCTTAATCAAAAAGATCAAAAGATCAAGGAGCTGAGTTATTTTATATAATCATTTTAATTGTACTGAGAAGGACGAGTTCCCCACAACAAGGTACATATTATCAATATATTATGTCACTTATCTGTTATAATTAGTAGAATGAGCCAAAAAAAGTAACCAGTACCCCTTATACTAGCTTTATATATGATCACCCACGATAAACTTACATGCCCCTTAAATTTTGTTTACCAAATTTCATATCACTCACCTGTACACCCAGTATCTCAAGGTTGATAAGCGAGTCCAGATTTTGTAACTTCATAATTTTGTTCTTGCCCAAGAAGATGCTATTTAAATTTGTCATTCCATCTAGGTTTTCAATGACCTGTTGGTTAGTGTATAATTTATTTCTACTGTATTAATCCCTCAATAACAAAAAATATATTAAATTACATGGCATATTTTCAAGACAATTCTGTCATCTTGCTTCCCATTGTTTTAGCCTATCTCTATGGTATGTTGCTTTCTCTGAACAGTTCCTCTCTCATTGTTTTAGAGGTAGTCTAATAAGCAGCATGGGAAGAAGGCTTAGAGGAACAATTAAGGAGCCCTTGCTCAGAAAGAGCACCGAGTGGAATGCAACAATCCTCTTTTAAGTGGCCACCTATGTGAGATCAGTCTTAGAGTATGCAGTCCCATCATGGAGCCCCCACCTAAAGAAACACATTGGGAAACTGGAAAAGATTCAGAAATTTGTGACGAGGCTAGTCCCGGAGTTGCATGGGATGGGATATGAAGAGCGACTGAAGGTACTGAACCTGACATTAGAAAAAAGGAAGGAGCGGGTAGATATGATAGCAGCATACAAAATACTTTGGAGTGACAGTGGAAATAGATGAAATGTTCACACAGAATACCGGCAAAACAAGGGAACATGGGTGGAAGCTAGAATCTCAGTTGTCGTAAATATGTTAAAAAGTTTTGTTTTAGGGTGAGAGTAGTGGGTAAATGGAATGAATTAAAGGAGTACATTGTGGAGGCAAGCCACTATTCACAGCTTTAAAATTAAGTATGATTGAGCAGAAGGATCAGAGTCATTACTTTAAACAACCAAAAGGCTAGAAAGTAGGATCCAAGAGCCAACACTCGATCCTACAGGCACAAATAGGTGAGTACACACACACACACACACACACACACACACACACAAAAGGTGCAAAGACATGCTACTAAGTGGCTCCCAGAACTGAAGGGCAAGAGCTATGAGGAGAGGTTAGAGGCATTAAATATGCCAAAACTAGAAGACAGAAGAAAAAGAGGTGATATGATCACTACGTACAAAATAGTAACAGGAATTGATAAAATCGATAGGGAAGATTTCCTGAGACCTGGAACTTCAAGAACAAGAGGTCATAGATTTAAACTAGCTAAACAAAGATGTCGAAGAAATATAAGAAAATTCACTTTCGCAAACAGAGTGGTAGACGGTTGGAACAAGTTAGGTGAGAAGGTGGTGGAGGCCAAGACCGTCAGTAGTTTCAAAGCATTATATGACAAAGAGTGCTGGGAAGACGGGACACCACGAGCGTAGCTCTCATCCTGTAACTACACTTAGGTAATTACACTCACACACACACACATACATACATATACATATACATATACATATATATATATATATATATATATATATATATATATATATATATATATATATATATGCAAAAAATTTAATATTCCAATTTTATTATCAAGGAATTTATCAAGGAATTTATCAAGCTACATTTGAAGAGCAGTTTACTTAATCCCTGGAGCACCACTAAGGTATCTGGAGGCAATCCATCTCTTCATGTCATGTTATATATAATGCAGTAAGTAATAATAACAAAATAAACACCAGTTTTAGGGTTCCAGAGCTGTTGAACAAGTTACCAATTAACATCTGTTGTTACCAAGCATAAGTTTATGAGTTCAAGCACAAGTTGTATTAAATAAGAGCTGCCTCAAATGGGCCAATAGGCCTTCTGCAGATTTGTTATTATTATGTTTTATATGTTAACTGATTACACATTGGCTTGATAGTTACTCATGACTCAACTGTCACTTCCACAGAAACAATGTGTGGGAATGAGTTCATAATCAGCATAAATAGCTACACTATTGCATCAATATTTTAGGCATTTCAAATACTGTACATTTATCAGATTTCTCACCCTTATTTTGTTGTCCCCAAGTTCAAGTAATTCCAGATTTCTTAAATGATTGACATTTTCAATCCGTGATATCTTGTTAGCACATAAGAACAGCTTCTTCAGGTTGGTTAGCCCCTCCAAGTTCTCTATTTTTCTGATTCGATTGAAAGAGACATCAAGAACCCTAAAAATAAAAAAAAATAAAAAAAGCGTTGAATGTAATGAAACGCCAGTTTCTGGGTGAGACCCGGAGGCTCCCCGGAGCCATACCAGGCTATTGTGTATATATTAGACCATGGCAACAGTCAATCGATGGAGTTCTATGCCTACTGGGGACTGCGTGCCAGAACCTGGCCCCCCTCAGAGAGGCACAAGGAGCAATGGCCTATAGACACCCACAAAGTAGTTGGAAACAGTCTATATCTGCCATCTACCAGGTCAGGCACCCAGAAAGGTAGAAATCCCAACACAAATTACAGCTGGTTAAAAATTACAAACTAACAGCTGAATGAGCAAGCAGAACTCCCCAATCAGAAAACAAGCAAACAAGCATGACATCACCACTGCCACCGCATCGCTGTCTGCGCAGCTTCCCCCTCCCCAGGCGGAAAAAACAGGGGCCCCAGATCTCCTGCGCTGGCTACCCAACCCCAGCTCAGAGGCTGGATATCAAAAATGCAAAAAACTGCCGACCGGAGGAAGGGAGGGATGCTGGGGAGCCTCCGGGTCTCATCCAGAAAATGGTGTTTCGTTAAATTCAACGCTGGTTTTCTGTGGAGAACCCCTTGGCTCCCCGAAGTTACCTAACCAAAGATAAAGGAAAAGAGGGACTTACCCGAAAGGTGGTCACCACTCGCTCCTCAACTCAAAGTCGAGACAGAGACAACTGGCTGCAACCTGCGACCCAAGGTTAAACATGCCTGAGAAGGGCCCAGAACTTTAACGAGGTATCACGCGGCCAGGACCCTGTTTGACCTCCCAAGTAATGGCGAAGAGCTGCAACCAGGCACAAAACATGATGCACCCCTGAATGAACCAACTAAGCATCAATAACCCAAGGACCCCTCCGGAAAGAAGCAGTCTCATTCTTCGCCAGAAAAGAGGAGACAGATGAAAACAAACAAAATGACCACCAGGACCGAAAGAGCAGAAACCCCTGTGCTGGAGGAGAGCATGAAGCTCCCCGACCCTACCCCAAGAGGCCAATGCCAACAAGAAAAAGAGCCTTAGAAAAACATTATTGAACCGAAGAAGCCACTACAAACTGAGGAGAACAGAGAAAGAGAGGCAGACGGAGGTAGATTGACGAAGATTGAAAAGGATTGAAGCCAGAGTCGATCGACTGCCACCCAACACAACCACCTCAGAACTGGGGTTGGGTAGCTGACACAGGAGGTCTGGGGTCCCCCCATCCCCCTCCTGGGATGGGGGAAGCTGTGCAGACAGCGATGCGGCAGCTGTGGTCACGTCATGCTTGTTTGCTTGTTTCCTGATTGGGGAGTTCTGCTAGCTTGTTCGGCTTTTGGCTTGCAATTTTTAATCAGCTGTAGTTTGTTTTGGGGATTGCTATCTTTCGGGGTGCCTGACCTGTTTGATTGCAGATATAGACTGCTTCCAACTATATGGGGGGTGTCTACAGCCCATTGCTCCTCATGCCTCTCTGAGGGGGGGTCAGGTTCTTGCTTGTGGTTCCCAGTAGGCATAGAACTCCATCAATTGACTCTTGCCACGGTCTAATTTATACGCATCAGCCCGGTATAGCTCCGGGGAGCTGAAGGGGCTCTCCACAGAAAAACAATACTGTATTAATAATTGATTTATGGGTAAATAAGCAAATGCAGTTGGTGTATATGCATATACCTGTACAGTACAGTGAGTGAGTCAGTGTGGGCATTTGGGGGTTATTTCCCCCCATACAGTCTTCTGTTCTCTATTGAATAATCTCTACAAATCTTTGACTTCCTTGGGCCTTTAGATTATGCCATTCCCTGTGTGTGCAAGTATTTCCGATGGGATATGAGTGTACCGAGTTTGCACTGGTTGGCCAATGTTTGCTGCCGTCCTTGGTGAACACTGGTGATTAGCTGCAAGTCTGGCACTTTTTGGTCTTCCTTGGTTTTCCCACTTTGTACAGGTGCACAAAGTTGTCCCTGCTCTCTTTTGACTTGGTGGGAGTCTAGTACAGCAAGTGCTATTTCGCAGTGCGTTTTTTCCAGCCGCCCTGTCTGCTGTCTGTCTTCCAACCGCCATTCCAGTATGCTGCTGTATGAACTTTTGCTCCCAAACTGACCTGGGGCTCTCCATCTGTGTGTTAGCTACTTTCAGACTGGGGTCCTGGCTTGGGACTCCTGGTTTGCATTACTTTCCACAAGAGCCTCACTTTTTCTCCCTTGGGGGCAGTTTCTTCCGGCAGTCCTCAGCTCTTGTCGGAACTTTGCACTATCAGGGAGATGTTGGTTTTATCTTTCTTTGCACTCAATGCTTTCATTTTTTCTTGTATGCCACATCACAGCCCAATTGTCATGGTGTTCTTTCAGATTCTTTCTCCTGTGGCCATGTGTGTTATCCTTGGTGCAGGCATCCACACGTTGTTCCCCGGTGCAGCTCTGCTCTTAGTGGTTTTGTTCCATATGTTTCCAGAATCTGTGCCCAGTTGTTACTAGCCAGGGGGGGCTAGTAACACTAGGCACACTAGGCTGTGTGCCTGAGGGGTTCCAGGGCTGCTGGCCTCACTGCTAAGAGGCTGAGTACCTAGTTGTTCCCAGAATATTCATGCTGATCTTCCTAAAAAGTGAACCAGGTGTTTTTGGGCTGTGTGCCAATCTTTGCCTTTGTTGTGTGCCCACCACTTTCCCGATTCTCAGCCAACTTCTCTCTGGCTGGTGTTCTTGTCTGTTCTCGGACTATAAGCCCAGTTTTCCCAGGTTGTGAGCCTAGCTATTTTTTTGAGCAGGGTTTTTTTTCCCTAATTGTGTCCAGCTGTTTTACTAGGCCAAGTACTTGGACATCTTGTAGGCACACTGTCCAGATGTCATTCAGCCTGTGTGCCAAGCTGTTTTCTGGACTGTGTGCTTGGTTGTTTATTCCAGGCTGTGTGACTCACTGTTTTCCAAACTAATTTTGCCTTCTTCCTCCTAGTTTTATGTTGATGAATACCCCACTGTATCATTATTACCCCCATTTTCTGTCATGGGATGGTGAGATACCAGTCTAGAGGGAAGTGGGGAACCAAGGAAAGTGAAGAAGGTTAAAGACATGCATCCAGTGCTTCATATGACTAAGTGAAGAATGCTACCCTGTAATTTGATAATTTACAAATACTGTACTTTAAAATGTTATTTCTCACCTTGAATACATTTCATTTATAGATTAAATTTAACATACAATATAGTATATACTGTATAATAATAAAGGTGTGCTTAGAAACTTTTAAACATTAAATCCAAATATTCCAGTTAAAATTCAGAACACTAAAGCTCCATTTCTAATGTTTCATATAATAAAGAAATTTACTACATAATTATCAGTTTTCTTTTCTCCAATTTTTTGTTGTAATAATTCCAGCCAAACACTTCTTGGTCACTATATCAATTAATTATATTCTGATTGCATCTAAATGACTAGTTTCATTATTATACTGAGTGACAGCTTTTATCGGCATTTTCTTATTACAATACTGAAATTATTTTAATATATCCCTCATCTATTATACGGTACAGTACAAGAAAGAGATATAGGAGTGAATGCACATACTGTATAGATAATTCTACCCATATATAATTATTATACAGCAATAAAAGCATCAGACTAATGCATAAAACTAGTACTCTACTTCAAAGTTATCCAGTCCACCAGTGAACCTTCTCAATGACAGAAGTGACATTAACCTTACCATCTCTATCAGTATTAGTACAGTATTTAATGTAAGTTACAATAACTATATAAGCCTGCTAATTCTATCTCAAACCCAGTAAAAATCTATTCTCCTGAAATGTACACAGGATAAAACCCTTATGTGCTATTGGTATAACAAAAGACATAAAATATCAGCATACTCAAGATTGACTAGTGCAGATAGATTTTCAATAACGTGAATTTGATTATCATACAGTTCCAACTCTTTGAGCATGGTAAGCGTATGAAGATTTTCAATTTTTTTTATAAGATTCCATCGCAAACAAAGCGTCTCTACACACGTCAGCGACTCCAGATTTTCTATCTTGGCAATGCGACGGTGATTCAGATCTACCTCCTGAAATGATATTGAAAGTATTATTTCAGTTAGTAATGAACCTTTGTTTAATTTTAAAAAATATATACAGTACTGCACTAATGATGAGCTGTAAGAAACATCCTATAACAGTAAAAAGCAAGGACTTCTGTCTGAACTTAAAGTACTGTATGTGACAAAAATATTAAGCAGTGAATAAAGCTTACTTTATTTTACTTCTATGTAGTCAAAATATTGGTTTTGGAACAAATAAAAAATTTCCAATAGATAATTAATAAAAATCCATGTATCATAAACTTAGGCAAGAAGGTGAATGAATACTGTACTGCACTTGCATAGATTCAAGAGTGCAGTGTACAGTATCTTTTAAACCCTTTTACATATTAAAATTGGATGTTCACAGGATGTAAGTGAATATACAAGTGATAAAAAATTTAACTCACCACTGCATTGGGGTCAAGGATGACAAGATCCTCCGTTTCACCATCATCTGCGTCGGCTGAAGAAAATATGAATTCAGTCCCCTTTTATATATATACAGTATGTGTTTTTAATCACATGAAGGCAACTGAGACAGGTATCTCCAGGCCAGTTTATCTCATGTTATAATTCATAGTTCATTGTGTCAGGGGACAGGAAGCCAGAGTGTATTCATACACGTTTGGCTTTCATTGAGGTTGTACCCCCCCCCCCCAGGCTGAATTACTGACCCAACCCAGAATGCAACCCCCACAACAAGCTGACTAACTCCTGAATACCTACTCACTGCCAGGTGAACAGAGGTATTACGTGAAAGTAAATGTGCCCAACCATTTCTGTTCTGCCTGGGATTCGAACCCGGAATTCTCAATTGTGCGTCGAGAACAAACCCGACAGTACTACTGGGACACTTTATGAACATGGTGTTAGGAGTACAAGAGGTGCAATGATTACAGGGTTGTGTAATGTGTGCTGGGGATATAATGAGTGCATGGTATATACATAACTCTAATGAGCTCAGAGAGTGTAAGATATGCAGATTGTTGTGACAGGTAAAGGCCTATGTATAAGTTCAGGCTGGTGAAAAGAGAATAAGTTGGTGATTGTCGAGTTGGTGGTGGTAGTTAAATGAAGGAAGAAAATATGTAGAAAATTAAATGATGTTGGTTGTATATGGTAATACTGTACTGAAGTAATGTACAGTATATGGTAGTACTGGAATTTATCACTATTAGAATTACAGTATGTTATTTTCAGCTGTTAGGTTGAAGACTTTATTTAAATCTGCTTATAGCTTTTGTCTCTTTCACAGAGGTAATTTTCATGCTGATTTAATTATAGTCTGTAAAGGATGACATGACACTGTGACGTTTTGTCTATATAGTATCTGATATGAGAATGAGAAAAAGCAGTGTGCAAGTATCATGCTTTTGGATACAAAGCTTCTCACTGTGTTTGGACCTGCCCTAGCTGCAGTGCTAGTGTGGGATGTTGCCCTACCCTGACTGCTGTGCCAATATATATAGATGTGATTTTGACCTGCCCTGACTGCTGCACCAGTATGGGACATTGACCTACCCTGACTGCTGCACCAGTATGGGACGTTGACCTACCCTGACTGCCGCATTAGTATGGGACGTTGACCTGCCTTGACTGCTGCACCAGTATGGGACGTTGACCTACCCTGACTGCCGCATTAGTATGGGATGTTGACCTGCCCTGGTGGCTGCACCAGTATGGGACATTGAGCTGCCCTGACTGCCGCATTAGTATGGGACGTTGACCTGCCTTGACTGCTGCACCAGTATGGGACGTTGACCTACCCTGACTGCCGCATTAGTATGGGATGTTGACCTGCCCTGGTGGCTGCACCAGTATGGGACATTGACCTGCCCTGACTGCCACATTAGTATGGGACGTTGACCTGCCTTGACTGCTGCACCAGTATGGGACATTGACCTGCTGTGCTGGTTATCTCGAGGTTATCTTGAGATGATTTCGGGGCTTTTTAGTATCCCCGCGGCCCATCTTCGACCAGGCCTCCACCCCTAGGAAGCAGCCCATGACAGCTGACTAACACCCAGGTACCTATTTTACTGCTAGGTAACAGGGGTATAGGGTGAAAGAAACTCTGCCCATTGTTTCTCACCGGCGCCTGGAATCGAACCCAGGACCACAGGATCACAAGTCCAGCGTGCTGTCCGCTCGGCCAACCGACTCTGGTCATTCTAATTATTATTCCGATTATTCGATTCGTTCCGATTATTCTAACCATGAAACCGGTAGGATCTTACCTAAGAAAACAATTGAGTGGGAAGGCTGGGAAAACTCCCACTATGAAACCTGTGTACTTATAGACCACTGTACCCAACAGGTAACTATTTTTTACCAAATTTTATGTCAGCTTTTAAGTTTCATAAATACCTCTGGATTCTTCCTCAGGATCAGATTCAACTGCAGGTTCATCATATTCTTCACTCTGATTGTTAGGTGATACTTCCTCTGACTCTTGGGACATCTTTCCTTCTTTTGGTGACCAGTCACAGCCACCTGCAAAGTTTTGCTGAAAATAGTAATGAGATTGTAACATATTAGCTTGACTACTATCTTCACCTTTACCAGTTATCTATACCTATGAGACCTAATTTCCTCTGGTGCTGTAGTTCCCTTGAGTTTTGTTTGAGAAAAACAAAGAGTACAAAAAAAATATTCACGACATGGTCGTGAATAGTTCGGTAATGTAATGGTAATGTCAAGGTTTAGAAATCAAAATAATACAAGGACTACAAGGAAATAAAAATGGAGGAATAAATCACTAGTCCAACATGCAAACTTATCTCAAAATACAACCAATTACATATGTATTGATATTCAAATTTTAATCACAATACTGTATTGGCATCAGGAGAAACCGCCCTCTCCAGTAAGCCATACCTTTATAAAACATTTCTACATATGTTAGATAATGATGGTTACCTTTGGTTGTGTTAATACTAGGCTGGGTTAAATTATTACGTATTTATTTTAGGTGAGGACTGAATTGAGAAAGAGGTGAAACATTTGAATTTGAATTTGAATTTCAAATGACAAACAAAAATATCTAATCTTACTTATCTCAAACCTTTAAAGAAATGGTGTGTATCTAAAAAGATAAAACCAAATACCGTGAAAGACAAACAACATCTGAATCTTATATTACAATAGCCTCTAATGATAAATGGAGTAACACAAGACCAGCAAGCATTGCTGCCTTTGTCAATTTATGGCAGACAATACATATCCACATTTACACCACACTGACATACACTGCAAATGAAAGTGAATATAGGAAATATAAACTGAAGAAGGGCCAAATTGTTAAAGCTGCATGACTTGTTTGTGAACATCACAAACGTATATCATTCTTAATTAATCATGATTGATCACATTGAGATGGCTCTTCAATAGCGAAAAATGCACACCATTTCCTACTTACAGACTCCACTCTCGCAGATCCTAACGCCAAAACTTGGGGGGGGTTAACAAAAAAAAAGAGAAGTCTAAACTGTAGGTGAGTAGAGAAAAAGAGGTTAAATAGGAGTAGAAGCGAGGCAGATGACGGCGAGGTAAACTAGGTGTGTCGCCCCTGACTGCTCTCACTGTTTACATGCAGCTCTTCTAAACCACACGACTTTCTTCCCCCCTTGCCTCTTATACTATATATACGCTTTATATATACATCTTCATAGTATCTAAACACTTGATAATATATATTAATTGAGGGAAATAATTATAAATATACTGCATCTCGTTTTTTTGTATTTTTATTGAAAGCGGCTGCGTGATACTAAATTACGAAGTGTCTCTCAGTGACACTGTTGGTGCCGGGGGAGTACTCACCTAGTTGTGCTTGCGGGGGTTGAGCTCTGGCTCTTTGGTCCCGCCTCTCAACTGTCTGAGACACTGTTTGTTGGTGTCAGGTGAGTGTCAGGAATGTGTCAGTGACACACTGGTGGCTGGTGAGTGTCAGTGAGACACTTGTGGCTGGCGTCGGGGGAGTGTCAGTTATATACTGGCTGATGGCTTGTGTAAGTGACTTATTATTTTTGCTTCTTCTCAGATGTCAGCAAAGTGCTAAACATGCAGAAGCAAAGCTGTTGTGGGTCCCCAGGAGTGGACTATTGCTTTTCCTCTCCACTTGGTTGTATTAATGTTACATCTTGCTCTAGTGGCCTTCATGCAATGAAACTTGATGAGAACATAACTGATGAAAATTTTTCCCCTAATAAAAGGTAGGCATTGTAGTTCACTATATCTACACATTCATCTTATTGTATCATATATGGTTCACTAATTAATAAGTGAAAGTGCTATTAAATAAATTATTAATATATTTTACAGAACTGAGAATATTTTTTTTTTGTTTTAGTAAAGCAAACTTATCTCACAGAACAAAGGTGCAGTTGCTGAGAGGTGACTTGGAAAATGAACCAGAAATTATACAGCAATGTCTTAAGTGGCTTCAGATGTATTTCACGAGCCCAAAACTTCTAATCAATGTGTCAAGGCCAGACATATGTTGTTTCAAGCAGTTAAGCCCTGGTGAGTTCATAGATAACACCCACGCTTGATAGATTTTATGCACCCATTTCATATCTCGTTTTTTTCAATTGAACAAAAGAAAAGAATTATAATTTATCACGTTTTCTCAAAATTTACAGGATTCCATACTCGAGTTTGGCAAACTCTTGCAGATACTGTTGGTCCAGGAGAAGTAATCACTTATGGGGCTCTTGCAACGATGTTGAAGAATCCAGGTGAGAAATAGACCTAAGTTTTAACAAATATGGGCTCATTAGGTAGGGAAACTAATTTTCTTTTCCTTCTGCATTTTCAATATCTTGATAATGCCTCATCATATTGACTTGAAACCAATATTGCAAACGGATAGTCATAAAACTGGTGTTTCCTTTTGATACTAAGGAATGTAGTTCTTAGAGGGGTCCCTTTGTTAGCTTCCTGATGCTACAACTTAGATCCATTAAAGCCTTCAGGGAGACACCAATCCAATAAATATAATCGATGACTTAAATACTTATTGGAACCAGAGTCAAAAACTAGTTCCCCAAAGAGACTATGAGGGGTCAATAAATGCCACAGAACTGAATGAAACCCCACCAGAGAAGTGCAATATTCCAAAAATAGGAAATACAGTACTTGGAAACATTTGTAACCCCTTGTTATTGCTGTTTGATCAACACTTCGTTACTCTCGTTCACTTCAAGGTGGCAACCCATGCAACGACCCCAGTGTCTGATGAGTTGGTGCTGGATCATGTTCTCTGGTTGGGATTCTTGGGCTTTGGTGTCCTGATTGTGTGTGCTAAGCTGCCATTTGACTGCGGTTTACAGGCTTTTGGGTTAAATCCTGTTATTGACTGGAGCTTTCTTCTTCTGCCTGTGGCCTCTAACAATTGTCTTGGTTCCTACACACAATCCCTGGCCATCTTTCTGTTTTCTTTGAAGTTGAATAGATGTTTCATTTGGATGGATGGTTTTCTGCAGCTATCTTTATTCTAATGTTCTAAATGTCTACTGTCCTAAATACCTACTGTCCTAAATACCTACTGTCCTAAATACCTACTGTCCTAAATACCTACTGTCCTAAATACCTACTGTCCTAAATACCTACCATCCTAAATACCTACCATCCTAAATACCTACCATCCTAAATGCTTACTGTCCTAAATGCCTTCCATAAAAATATAAGAACATAAGAATTTCATTCAAGCACTCATTTTCATGCATCTATACTCACTAGTGTGTTTTCTCAATTTTCTTCAATTCCTGACCTTTCCTTGCCTTGCAGAGTGAGTTAGATTCTGGTCTTGGCCTCTATGTTAAGCACTGGTCTCAGAGTCCTGGTGTGTTTAGCTAAGACTTGGTGCTACCACAGCTAAGCTCAGGGAGCTTCTTTGGGCTCAACAGAAAAGTGTTTCTTCATACTGAAATGCTTGATTTCCTTGAGAAAATAATAATTTAAATAAAATTATAAAAGCCTTATTATAAATAATTGTATTCCACAACAGGTGCTGTGAGGGCTGTTGGCTCAGCTATGCGCAACAACCCAAATGCCATAATTGTTCCCTGCCACAGAGTTGTCCGTTCCAATAGCATGGGCTTATACCATGGAGGGAAACTACAAAAAGTCAAGTTGTGGCTATTAAATCACGAAGGTGTCAACAAATTCACTTAGGGTAGTGATTACATTATGCAACTTCATCATATTTGTTACATACTTCTCTTATGATTGATATGGTGGCATACTGAATGTATCATGGAGAACAATAGCAAATACAGTTTGCATATTACTGCTTCAAGGAATTGTTAGCAAGATAAAACTTTGATGACATATTATAGTGAATAATATGCATGTCACCCAGTCTAATTAACCCGCCAGCTATGTAGAGAACATTCTTTCTAATTCATAGTAATTAAAAAAATGCTACAGTACTGTAGCAATTTTAAAATTGCTACAGTACTGTAGCAATTTTAAAATTAAAATATTTTTTTCTGCTATATGATTTACTGTATATACAAAAATCTGTACACACAAAATCATTTCAGTGAGATAATTTGGAGAGAACTAATTATATTTTATATATCTTTGTCTAAGTTTGTCAGTACTGTACTGTGTAAAGGTTATTGCTATAAGTTAAATTCTTCAAGGTTTCTAGGTTACCATCGTTTAATTATCAGTTGAAAATTTAGTATTTTGTTGTTAAGAAAGGTTAATGATTAATTTCATTTAAATATTTATCTCTTCTGTAAAGGCACACTACTCAATATTGTGAAATACAAGTACAGTAGTGACTTGTTATTGTTAGCATTGAGGAGTTATTGGGAATTCAAACTGTAATTGCTTTGTCCCTAAAAGGTTTTTAATTTTGTTTAAAGTACATATCATTTAATATTTTTATTAGTTGTATATAAAAGCCTTAACTAATGGTGCTGATATTTAGGGTCTCAGTAATACAGTTAGTCTCTTTCTCAACTCACAATCGGGAATCTTGAGTTCGAATTCCAGGCATATGACAGGGATGGTTGGGCACGTTTACTATCACTTAATGCTTGTGTTCACCTAGCAATAAATAGGTACCCAGGAGTTAGTCAACGGTTGAGGAGTTACATCTTGGGAAGGGTCAGTAGTTCGACCTTGGGACCGCTCCAAGCAACAGCCTGGTGAACCAAACTCTCACAAGTCAAGTCTGGCCTCGGGCCGGGCTTGGGGAGTAGAAGAACTCCCAGAACCCCATCAAGCAGGTATCAACCAGGTATCAACCAGGGAAGCCTCAATATAAGCCTAACATGTATACATACACAGGTTGCCTGTCTCTAACAAAATGAATTGTGAATTATTACATACTTCTCCCTTTAAAATATGAAGAAGACATGACCTATTATTTTGTCATCCAAGGCATCAGAGTGCCAGTTCCTGGTTGTCCCAAATCATTCCCATTAGTTTTGAAACATTTTCATAAATAGTTTAATATTTTTCCAAATTATGTGCTTGAAATATATATATATGATATCCAAGAATATTCTCAAATATATATGTATTTTCAGTATTTTGTAGTTTTACTTCCTAATCTCTTTATCCTATTTAAACAAAATAAAATAATTCCAACAATTGACAATTCTAAATTATGCCATATCATTTGAAAGCCATCTCCAAACTATTAATATTCAAACCCCTTATAGAAGCTGGTCTTAAAAATAAAAAATAAAAAGTCGGTCAATACCCATTACAGTTGTGTACAGTATGGTTTCCTTTAACAAGTGTCTGGCCAAGTAATGTACAGTAGACTTTTAGTGAAGAATGAACACTCAAGGTGAAAATTTTGCTTTGCCCAGTTGCTTCTCTCAAAACAAACTCATCAAATCATATACAGTAACATGATTGTATCTTCCCCAAAAAGGCAGGGAAAACTAGAATAAATCCTCAGGGCCTGTGAGGAAGGGTATATTGTATAAATATTAAAGACATTTCTAAAGTACTGTAGTGAATGAATGAAGTATTTCTTTGAAAGAAAATATTGAATGAAGTGGAACACTAAAAATGTACAGCATATGTAATATAGTACATATAATTCAGCAACAAGCATAACTATCAAGTTAGAGCTGATACTGATATTTGTAGATTACCATTTATCCAGACTGACAGATCTAGAACACTTGAAACAGATAGCCAATTAGCTTATTCTTTGAATTTCAGCAAAATTATTCATTAATATAAGCAAAGAGTACAGTAGATAATTAAGAAATCCAAATTATTGTTTATTTATTTTGCCCAGGTTAATGGACCAATGATGAAGAAGCTCTCCTGTTGATAGTTGTCTATATCAAGGCATTTCATTTAGTGTCAGTACAAGTCTTCATGAGACAGTTGGTGGTTTTCTTACCCATATGGAATACAGTACAGTATAATGAGCTTTATGTTCATTCTTCATGTGCAATGGTATAAACAATTTAGTTATAAATAAAGTACAAATTTATTTATAAATAAATAAAGGACACCCCCTTATCTGGATATGCTTGTTATTTGTTTTGGAGTTTGTCCAAATAAAAATGTGCAATAAGATGGTGATGGTGATTCTTAAACAACGCTGTTTATCTACCTAATTGTGTTTGTGCTGCGTTTTCAGCCATGTTTCCCCCTTTTTTATATTTATTTTTATTTGTTCTCGACACATTTTATTCTTTATACTCAATTAGTATTAAGTTTTAGTCATTAATGTTTTTCCTGCCCAAAACGCTTTGCGTAATAGTGGCTTTAGGCATTGTATGTACTAGCTCCATCTATAAATCGATCAAATTATGTAAAATCTCTTGTATGTATGTACCTTACCTGAATAAACATTTTATTTTATTTTATTTAAAAATGTGTGATAAAGTGGAGTGTTGGAGTGGTACAAGTACATCAACATCTGAGGTACCTATCATCTGGTAAGATAGGTGGTCAGGCTAGACAGACAGACAGACAGGCAAGAGAGCCTCTTGGGCTCAATAGGCTCTCTTGCCCACTGGGCTCAACAGGCTGTGTTCACCAGATCACACACTAGAAGGTGAAGGGACAACGACGTTTCGGTCTGTCCTGGACCATTCTCAAGTCGATTGTGCAATCGACTTGAGAATGGTCCAGGACGGACCGAAACATCGTCGTCCCTTCACCTTCTAGTGTGTGGTCTGGTCAACATACTTCAGCCACGTTATTGTGACTCATCACCTCAACAGGCTGTCTTGCCTGTTGGGCTCAACAGGCTGTCTTGCCTGTTGGGCTTAACAGGCTGTCTTGCCTGTTGGGCTTAACAGGCTGCCTTGCCTGTTGGGCTCAATAAGCTGTCTTGCCTGTTGGGCTCAATAGGCTGTCTTGCCTGTTGGGCTCAATAGGCTGTCTTGCCTGTTGGGCTCAATAGGCTGTCTTGCTTGTTGGGCTCAATAGGTTGTCTTGCCTGTTGGGCTCAACAGGCTGTCTTGCCAGTTGGGCTTAATAGGCTGCCTTGCCTCTTGGGCTCAATAGGCTGTCTTGCCTCTTGGGCTCAATAGGCTACCTTGCCTCTTGGGCTCAACAGGCTGTCTTGCCTCTTGGTTCAACAGGCTACCTTGCCTGTTGGGCTCAACAGGCTGCCTTGCCTGTTGGGCTCTATAGGCCGTCTTCCCTGTTGGGCTCAATAGGCCGTCTTGCCTGTTGGTCTTAACAGGCTGTCTTGCCTGTTGGGCTCAACAGGCTGTCTTACCTGTTGGGCTCAACAGGCTGTCTTACCTGTTGGGCTCAATAGGCTGTCTTGCCTGTTGGGCTCAATAGGCTGTCTTGCCTGTTGGGCTCAGTAGGCTGTCTTGCCTGTTGGGCTCAATAGGCTGTCTTTCCTGTTGGGCTCAATAGGCTGTCTTTCCTGTTGGGCTCAATAGGCTGTCTTGCCTGTTGGGCTCAATAGGCTGTCTTTCCTGTTGGGCTCAATAGGCTGTCTTGCCTGTTGGGCTCAATAGGCTGTCTTGCCTGTTGGGCTCAGTAGGCTGTCTTTCCTGTTGGGCTCAATAGGCTGTCTTTCCTGTTGGGCTCAATAGGCTGTCTTGCCTGTTGAGCCAGCAAGACAGGCTCAACATCATATATATATATATGATGTTATATATCACTTGAATGGTCCCTTATTTTCGGTTATATGTTATATATAGCTTGAATGGTCCCTAATTTTCGGTTATATATACAGTACACGTATAAAGGAGAGAGCTAGAGCTGTCCAAGTTTGGGGGCCAGATGTTTTGGGTTAGTCTCACCAAATTTTACAGGTGGTGTAATACTCCCCTTACTCTCACCAATTTTTACAAATTGGTGGGTGTAAGGGGATAGTCAAAGAGGGAAAGGGGTGGGTGTAAGGGGATAGTCAAAGAGGGAAAAGGGGGAATTGGGGGATGAACCCCATGCTAAGCCCCTCCTTTAAGAAGAGGTTGAGATGAAATGTTTGGGATTGAGTTCATAGACATTATTATTTGTTCATTACACTGTATTACTCAGATATTTGGGAAAACCCACCCTCATGCACTCCTTTGATCAGGAATCTATATTTATAAAAATAGTATTTCTGTGTGTCTGTATAAGGTTGTAGGCCAGATGCTTTAGGTTAGCCTCACTAAATTGTACAGGGTGACTGGTGGGTGTAGGGGGGGGTTGGAATGAAGACGGATATAGGGGGTCAGGATTGATCCCTGTCCCCCTAAAGAGGAGTTGGGGGTTGGCCTCCATGCCTCTTTTATAGACCTAATGAAGTTGGTGAGGGGAAGATACACGAAAAAAACAGGTTCTGGCGAGACATTTGATTTTTTTGGGACTCCTAACATATAAATGAAACATAATTTTTGAGTCAACCACAAGTGGTCAACATGGGATTCTGCACCTGACTCAGTAATACTTTTCTGACAGATTGGTGGGTGTATATATACACAGGCTGTCTGTCCCTGCAGTTACAGCCCCGCTCCTGTGCCAGTTAAGTCCATTACGGGCTCTCCATAGCCCGTGCAACTTGGAACTTTTTGTTCCCAGTAGCTGAATCTATAACAACACCAACATGTCCCCGCAATAAAATGAATTTATTATGAATTTGGTAAGTGGTGGCGGTGAGCCCCCATTGGCGCCCGTCATGGGCGTGATGAAGTCAATGAGGGGAAAGACATGCCAACATGCATGATGGTCTGATAGCACTCCTGGTAATCCTTCATATGTAATAGAGTATCAGCAGAATGCTATACCTAATATTGATAATAATAACAGTAATAATGTAGTTTTGCCCATTGTGTTGATAATTATGGCATATATACAGTATATATTTAGCTTAAATTCGTAATATATCTCTTGATATTCTTTCTTTCAAAACAATTTAAACGATAGCTTTTATTCTTGACAAAAAAAAATCGAGTAAACTGAAAACAACGAAAATACAAGATAATTTGTTCCATATATGGAAAATTTTATCAAACTTTCACAAGTAGACCCGCCTCCTTATGACGTAAAATAAGCGACGGAGCATTACCGAGAAGAAGAATTCCGATCCTTTCTAAACCCCCGTTGGAGTGTTTAGGTGCGAGTGATGGTGGATCTCGGGTGCACATGTGATGCTCCTCCGTCCTCTCCGGTATCATAATAGTGTTTTTGTCCACCACGGTGCTTCTTGAGGAAGTCAGCACTGATGTGTCAGTGAAATTGACTGACTTGTAACGCCTTGTTAAGAGCAATGATGTGGTATTGTGGGGAACGGTAGCCCGCCATCACCACCATCGCCGCAGGTACCCTGGAGCCCGACCACTGGCGGCGGACACACCCATGGATAATGCTTAGAAACACTTCATAACATGTAAGTGAAGACGGTCTTGGCCTCATGTTTTAAGATAGTTTCAATAATATAAGTAAGATAGATTCAATAATATAAATAAGGTGTTGATCATTACCGTATGTTTAATATGTTGTCATAAGCAGATAACTCTGAGAAGCATAACTAGTACTTAAAATAATGACTTTAAATAATATTTTCGAGTATGGGAGAACAGACTACCATTGTTATGGCCAGATGTGTTTACGGTCACTACAAACTGGCCTTTACAGTTTGTAGTGACTTGAACACGTGACAAATCCCAGTTTGTGAGCCTGGGATTAATGCTCACTGTAGTACAAAGGTAAGAATACGAGGGCATAACTTCACATTGATCAAACAACTAACTGTGAATGTTCTGTGCAAATATGGTAGTATGTTAGATAGTTAGGATTTTTTTATTTTTTTTTTAATTTAAATTGTGCCCTGAGGGCTGAGTTTATTGGGCAGCGCCACTCATCTTGTAAGTGGACATACCGCCATAGCAGCATGTACAACACTCCCCAATAGGAAGAAAACCGGCTGGGTTGTTCATCCTGATAGTTAGTTGATAGTTAAGGATGTATTGTACCGTACTTCAAGACTAAGTGAAAGAAACATAGTAAATTTTTATTTTGTATAATAAACTGTAAAAACTTGAAATACCATGAGCATAGCTGCCTTCCTATAGGTATAATTGGATAGCAGCATGCCATTATATATAACAAAAATACATACATTACAGTACTGTGTTTAGTTACAAACAATAATATATTTTGTCTTTTGCAGAGGAATTCAAGATGAAGGCTATAATTGATAATATAGAGTGCCAGCGAGACTCTCCCAGATTCCGGTAAGTACTGTACAGTGTAAATAAAATTTAAGTTTTCATGTCAAACCTAAACAAGCTTGATAATTTAATTTGTCTTGTATGTATAACTTATTATTCATTTACCTAAAAAGATTAGATCCATTAAATCATATATCTGCTGCCCTCTTGTCTAATTCAGTTCCTCAGCCCTTTACTTATTACATCCCTTTTTGTCACAGCTTCGTCTAAGTGCTTTAGTGTACTGGTTTAGCACTTTCTCCTGATAATTACCTTAACTTGCCTTGCAGACAAAAGTCTCTAGGTTTGAGTGACTTGATAATTGACATGAACTTAATGATTGACGTGAACTTAATGATTGACGTGAACTTAATGATTGACTTGAGCTTAATGATTGACTTGAGCTTAATGATTGACGTGAACTTAATGATTGACTTGAGCTTAATGATTGACTTGAACTTAATGATTGGTTGAAGTGAATGGTGTGAAATGGATGCTCTAAGACTTCATCAGACAGCAGTATTACAGAGGGTGCCATGCATTCACCCTAGGGAAACAGGTGCGTTACTATGTAATATCTTGACTATGAATGCAGTGAATATATGCACATATAAAAGAACTTTGATAAAAACACCCAGGGGAAGGGGGGGGTTAGCGAGATGCTGGTGTATTGGAACTGAGGAAAACACAAGGTACAATGTAGTATGTGGCACTGGCATTGTGAGAAGTGATGTAAACCCATGCCAAGGTTGCCAAGGTATGGACAAGGAAGCCTGGAAGGAAATTAACATGTTTCCCATTTGGTATTGAAAGAAATAGAGGTGTGGCTTTAAATCAGCTGATCTGTAGAAGCAGAGATTGCAAGAGTGCTTTGGACTTGTAGGTAAAGGGAAAGTGGCCAACTAGGTAGAAAGAAGTTGTGGGGAAAGTTGGAGTTAATGAATGGCAGTGGAAACCTATTAAGTATCCCTTCACTTTTATAGTAATAAAATATACCTGTTTGTCTTGTGTAGTTAAGAACTAGAAGGTAGAGGAAGGCAGCCAGAGAAGAAATGGGCAGGTATGGTATACAAGTATGCGAGGATGTGTGGATTGAATGTAAACTTCACGTAATACAGTTAGGGACAAGGCTGGGTGAAAGAGGTAGGTAAAGAGGGGGGTAATTGTATTTTTGTACCTTTCAGTATGTGACAACTGGCATAGCATTGTATACCTGATCTTAGGAAGCTCTTGGGTATTGCTGGTGATTACTGTTGGGGTGTGCTGCTGCTTGTATATCTCTGTGCTCTATAGAATTGATGTTCGTCCTTCGGATGTGAATATGGGTGTGACTTCTGTATATCAGGTCAAAAGCCAGTGTCAGATGATGGAGGATTAGACCAATCTGAGTATGGAAGGCTTGCCCACATACAGTACATTTGTGGGTGGGGGCTACTGCAGAGATGGAGGTTGGTCTTGCTTTGAGTGCGGCACATTTCCTTTGGGCCTCTGCAGTCTGTCTATTTTCTGTCGCACAGGCCCCCTGTGGTGACTTTGCTTTTCCAAGTTGGACAGTCGTGAGCAAGCAACTCAAGTATTGGTGTTGATGTCCAGGTCTTTGAGGGTCACCTTGAGGCAGTCCTTGAATCATTTCTTCTGCCCCCAACAGAATGCGTGCCCTGGCATAATTCTCCATACAGCAGCTGTTTAGGCAGTCAGCTGTTAGGCATTCTGGCAACGTGGTCTGTCCATCTGGCCTGAGTTTTCCGTTGGAGGTTGTAGCCTCTACATACACCCTCTATACAATTAATTATATAATAATTTATTTTTGTATTGATATCTTGAACCTTCTTTTGCTATGTACATTATATGGTACAAGGCTTATTGGTTTGTTGTTTTTCAGTTCTACATAGTTCTTTTCTTAAAGGAAATAAAAGCATTGTTCCTGTTTCTAAGTACCATTTTTTTTTGTTTAGGCATTTTGAAAAATATTTTTTTTCTTCGCCTTTTATAATACGAGCTGCTAATTGATCATATTCTACTTATTCTTTTACAGACAAGTGCTTGAGGAAAATGAAAAAGACCTGGACACATTGGAAGGCAAACTGGAAAAGGTAAAATCTTCATTAGGTGTTTAGTGTTGCTGTAAGGCATTAGAGGATACATCATATTTATCCTTCTGATGCTGCTATCATCCACACTTGGATACAGAATGTTTAAACCAAGAGCAAAACCCACTATGATCTGAGGAATTAACTTGTGCTTGATACTACACATGCTATCTATATTTCAGTCACTTCTTGCACCAATACACTATTTAAAAGAGCTTCATTACTGTTTTGTCGTCAATGACTGTCTTTATGTACCTGTCTGTTCTCTACAAACAGAATGCTATGAGTAAGCATTTGCCTACCTGAAATGATTGTTAGATACCGTATTTAAAAAAAATATTTAGTGCACTCTATGGAATGATGCAGGCTTCTCAAGTTAGCACATCACCAATGCCTGGACTGCATGGAGTGAGCTCTTGTCATGCCCGAGATTAATAATATTAATTTGCAACTTTCCTCTTTAGGCTTTTTTGGGGATCGAATTTGTGGTTTCATCCCTTGCCTGTCCTTGAGTGGTATACAAATAGGGTCAACATCAGCAGTAGACAGACACCACAATGAAGGGGGTATTTTGGGTGGTATAGTTGGCAATTTAGCCTCTTGCCCTCTCATTGGGGGGGGGGGAAGGGGTCCCCTCTTCGTCTCGAGCCACACTGCTCTCCGGTAGTATATTGCCTGATTAAGGGTGGGTCCACTCAGTCCCCCTCTGTGGTGGTGAACACTGAGGATAGTCTTGCTCTTAGCTTCTCAGGGTTTGGTCCTAAGTGAGGTCAACATTTGGGGGCGTCTTGCTCACCGATGACTTCTCCCACTACCATTCTATCCTGAGAAAGTTGGGAATTAGCCAAAATGTCGTTGTAGTGCATTTGGAAGATGACTGGTCATCCCTAGGTGAATTTGTCTTGGCATGTAATTATCAGCTGGCTCTATACTTTGCTACATTTCCTGATTGCAAGGTATGTTGGTCTGGAGTTATTTATACTAGTACTTCATATATCATTGTCCTCCAGAGCAGATTTTCCTTCTTGTGTTGTAGCTCACAAAGGACTCCAGCATAGACATGATTAATCTTGCTCCCATATGTCAGGTTCAACCCTGATTCCCAGCCTTACCCTCTCTTAGTCTTCACTCGGTTTTCTTTCAGAAGTTATGCTTCATGCTGAGGATCTGAGGTTGAACCTAGTGGGATGGATTGAGGCTCTAAATCAATGTGTGTATGTATTTTTTAGGTGTTAGGATATTCTGGTTTTGTATCTGCCAATTTTTGAGATGGCAATATGAGGTGGCTTGGTGTGTGCCTCTTACTCTTTCCCTTCACCCAAGTTTTTGGTGGTGGATTTGCCAGATTATGTTCTTGGATATGTTCTCTCCTCCCTGTCCTAACTGCTCTCATCATCTTCAAGCAATAGACTGACAGTGCACCTATCGTCTGTGGGAGACTAGATGTGCCTCGTAATGCTGTGTTCAAAAGTCCCACCGATTATGTGTGTAATTTCATTTGATACTAGAGTCCTCTGGTAATTGTTTGCCATATTGGGAACAAATCCTGAAAGCCTTAGTTTCTTTTCTGGTCCCTAGTAAAAAGATGGGCACCAAGTTTGGTACATCACCATCTGATGACTAATGCACATTCTAGGAACCATTGATGCTATGCAAAATTGCAAGGACATTTATGGACCTGAAAAATATTAGTGATGAGAAATCTATTACAAATAGTTAACTTGAAAATTGTCCCTCAGAATCTGCTGTCATTAACATTTTTTCACCTCACTATGGCCAAACTATAATTAGTAGAATTTTTCCCCATCAGAAAGCAGCATTTTATGATAAAAAATAATAAATAAATATATTTATACTGTATATATATATATTTTTTTTAATACACACCAGAAAATTGATACAATTTCAGATGTGTAGTTAGGGGGTTAGGTTAACTAGGACTTTCCAGGCGTTTGGTTTTTAATCTAAAATATTTGGTGAAATTATTATCTATGTTTGTTCCAATTTTTAATCTTAAAACTGGAGAGCAACATTTACTTAAATTCATTTGATATGTCATCCATGAAAAGATGCTATACATCTGTTTGCTGCCTTATATTTAGAGTTAAGTAAATATGAATTACATTATTCAAATTTCTATAGCATGATGAAAATAGTGTGCTGTAATTTATGGAAGCGTAAACATAAAAAGTTGAATTGCAATGTTTTATTTTGTTAATATATGTAACTTACTTCTTTCAATGGACAGGTAGTGAAGCAGTGTAACCAGATGGTATCTGCAGGAAAGCAGTTCAATCAAGAGCAAGAGTATGTACACTGTTATCTTTGTATGTTAGTAAGAACAACATTAAATTACTGACAGCTAAGGAATGAATTTTTGGTTTATTTTGGATTAAAAAAACAAGGAAACAAGTTAAATGGCTAGAAATTTGAAATTGCTTACAGCATGTAATAGAACACTAATAATAAGAGGATCCTGTTGTTGAAGAAGACATTGAAATTTATATAGTATAGACTGACAGGGAGTTGCATGAAAGGGCTTTATCCCAAATATTATCTGTGACTGTGAAAAGCTTGCTCCCTTAAGAATGCAATGATTGTGGATTCATTGCTGGAGTGCAACAGTGCTGGTTCTACGTGAAGCAGTGGAAGATGTGGGGTATCTTTCTTTATCTTCAAGAAGGTACAGTGCCCCCCAAAAATACGTAATCCAATTCTCAGAAATCCAAAAATGTGGTAGTCTGTTGGGCTGCTGCTTCCTTGCAAAAATGCAGTAAAGGCTTTTGCAATCCTCGGACATTTCCATGGTGTAGAGGCTGAGGTTTTGGTGACATGCGCTCAGTTTCCCAGCTCCCACTTCTGGTTCACATGCCAAATTGACCTCTACTCTAGGCTTCTTAGGTTTTGATGATGGTTGTACTGGTGACAGCAGCACCAGTGCTACTTTGACAACATAGTGGATTTTGGTCCTACTTCTGCCTTGGCTGTTCCCCACATGCTTTTATGAAATATTTTGTGGGGCACTACTTCAAATTTAAAATAATTTAATTATTAGAGTATTAAAAACAGCTGGAAAATTATACAAATATTAAATGTCATGTAAAACATGGAAAACTAAAGTTTTGAAATTTCATATGTATTGTATAGAATATAATGAGATGTTTGACAGTGTTCAGCCATCGTTATAATGTAATGTAATTGTCATTCTCAATCCTAGAACCAGTGATGTAGTTCATTTATTCATGTGATATAATTGATGTAATATATACTGTAGTGCCAAGAGGTCCCCACAGCTGCAATGTTTACATACAACATGTGGCAGTGTGCTGTCATATGCAAGGGGATTTATAGCAATTCTTTTGAACAGTTTTGAGTGTTCAACCTTACCAAAGGCTTTAGTAACTTCAAGAAATACAGGTATCATATTTTTGCCTTGTGATATATAACTCTAACAAGTTTTCTTGGTTATATAATTATAATTGGTTCTGTAAGATGTTTATTTTAATATGGACTTCAAAATCAGAAGTTTTGTTCCTCTGCAAGAAAGTCAAGTTAGTATGTAATAAATAATACTTTTTATTCACACTTGTGTTCAGAGCAATTGCCCTGTGGTTACCTAATTTCATAGACTGGAGTTTTTTGTGAGGAATTTAGCATAAACATATTTACTCTCGAGAGGCATGCCATGGACAAGTGATCTAGAGAAACATAATGACAAAAAGAAGTTTAGCTCTTACGAAATGGCTAGAGGAAATTTCAGTTGCAGACGAGGAGTCACAATAACGTGGCTGAAATATGTTGACCAAACCACACACTAGAAAGTGAAGGGACAACAATGTTTCAGTCCGTCCTGGACTATTCTCAAGTCGATTGTAATAAGGGAAGGAAATCTAGCAACTCTATTCTTATCCTTCCTTCTGACAAAGGCAATTTGGTGGTTGTCCTTGACCCTGAGGACCACCTCCAGAAAGCAGATGTCTTGCTCTCTGACTCCCGCACTTATGCCCCTCTGACTTCTAACCCTTTGGATCGCCTTAAAACTTCCTTTAACTGCAAACGAAGACAGCTCTCCAGTTTTTGTCCTGATCTCATTAAACGTTTCCGTGTCATCTGCCCTTCTCTCCCTTATTTCTATGGTCTTCCTTAGACTCATAAACCTGGTGTTCCTCTTCGTCCTATCATTTCTTCACGCGGCTCTGTCGGTTATCCTCTTGCCTGCTGGCTCACTAAAACTCTGATGCCTTACCTTGGCACTTTTTCTCCTGCCCACCTTTATCACTCACAGGACTTCATAGAAAGGCTGCGCCTGCAGCCTTCCTGTAAGATATTTAGTCTTGAAGTCGACTTTCTTTTCATTAATGTTCCTCTCGATGACGTTCTCTCTTTAGACAGAAGGCGACTGAGGGCCTTCTTCCTCCTGCTTCCCACTGACGTTTTCCTTGAACTCATTAGACTCTGTGTTGACTCTAACTCTCTCTTTCAACGGTAAATATTACACTCAAACTTTCAGTGTCGGTATGGGTTCCCCTCTCTTCCCTGTTCTTGCTAATTTCTACATGAAATACTTTGAAAATGTTCTTCCTTCTATTGATACTTGTCCCTCTCTCTGGCTTCGCTATGTTGACATTTTTGCTTTATGGTCTCGTGACCCAAGTCTTTTCCAGCCTTTCCTCTCCTGTCTTAACAATCTGGCTCCTTCCATCCATTTCAAAGTTGAATGGGAATCAAATTCCCTCCTTCCTCTTCTTGACGTTCACTTTCACAGCTCTGTGTCCGGGTTCTCTCTCTCTGTCTACCGCAAACTCATTCACAGTGGCATGTACATTCACTTCTTTTCCTACCATTCTCCTTATGTTAAGAAAAGTGTCCTCATCTCTCTCTTCCTCCGCGCTCTACACATCAGTGACCCTCAGTTTTTTATTCTGAAATTGCCTTTATCTACAAATCATTCTCTCGCCTTGGTATCCCTTTGCATTTTATCAACTGTGCCTACTCACATGCTAAACAAAATTTCTTTCATCCTAAACCTGCTTCCAACACTAGTAGCACTGTGCTCTGCCTTCCCTTCATATCTGAACTCCAAACTTTTACTTTTAACTTTTAAATCCCTTTCGTCCTCTTGACATAAAGCTCGCCTTTCGACAAACTAACACACTTCGTAGCAATCTAGTTCACATTGCTCCTCCTGCTTCTAATGCTGCTGGTGTCTACTCTATTTCCTGTTCATCTTGTCCTCTCCAATACTTTGGTGAAACTAGCCATACACTTAATGACAGACTTAAAGAACACAAAAGTGTTAAGTCTGCAGACAAACAATGTTCTCTTCTGTCTTGTTAGGGATTCTAATCATCCTATTGACTGATCTTCCTCCAAAATAATCTTTCCTGCCTCTACTCTACACAGACGCCATCTTGTTGAATCGGCTCCGATACACAACATACCCAACATGAACTCGAGTCCTGGCTTTGTTGCTGTTGACTCTTCCCTTTCACAGTATATACTCAAATGCTCTAACTTGCTACTTATGTATTTCTACTCAAATACTTTCTAACAAATGTGACCTAACATAAGCTTATCCTTCCATTTATCTTTTTCTCTCTTTCTTTTTCTTTCCCTTGTTTTCTTTTACGATCCCTTTCTTATTCCTATTACTATCTCTTTTATTACACCTTACCTTTCATACCTTTTGCCTTGCTTTTTCTTCCTCTAAGATTTCCTACTCCTCACCCTCACGGCTCAGGGAGCCGGTCGGCTGAGCGGACAGCATGCTGGACTTGTGATCCTGTGGTCCTGGGCTCGATCCCGGGCGCCGGCAAGAAACAATGAGCAGAGTTTCTTCACCCTATGCCCCTGTTACCTAGCAGTAAAATAGGTACCTGGGTGTTAGTCAGCTGTCACGGGCTGCTTCCTGGGGGTGGAGGCCTGGTCGAGGACCGGGCCGCGGGGACACTAAAGCCCCAAAATCATCTCAAGATAACCCCTCTCATGCCTATTTATTGCCTTCGCCTCCTTCCCTCATCACACTCGACTTGAGAATGGTCCAGGACGGACCGAAACGGCGTCATCCCTTCACTTTCTAGTGTGTGATTTGGTTAACAATTTCAGTTGCTGTCATAGGAACTCATTTTCCAAGCTTGTAATGTTATTTATAATCTTGTTGTCAAGTTGAAGTGCATTTATCAAACATCTGGGTCCTCATGCTCATGATTAGTTACAGCATGCCTTATCGTCAGTACAGTAATTTGAAAAGCAATGTTGTGCATTTTGTAGTGAACATTATATATATATACAGTGTACAGCAAAGTTTTGTATTTACATCCTCTGAACAAATTTGGGTTTTCCTCATTTCAGACAACTGATTCATATTCTATGGGATTTAGCAGGATATTTTGGCAGTGACACCAATGTGCAGTCAGCTTTAAATCGAATGCTGGCTGCCTTAGGGGAAGCTGCAAAATATCATGCAATACTGGTAGACCAGGCTGCTCGTGCTGTGACGAAGAACCTTGCAAGCTTTATAAAAAAGTAAGTTTATAGTATAGTACATGTATTTACTATTTTCATTTGTGTAGATATTTTGTGGTTATCGTAATTGCTTTTGGTCCAAGCAATGTTGTGGACTGATTGCTATTTCATTCAAAGCTTCTTTGGTTAGTGTTTCATTTAATGAACATTTGTCGTCATGACTGAGTCATATAGTATCAGTAATGTTGGTCAGATCAATTACACAAAAATTACTGTGATGAATCGGATTGCAAAGTCCAGAAATTCAGAAATCTAGATAACTGAAGGCTGAATAATTTTTTTTTTTTTATGTTAGTTTTCAGTGAATCCTATAGGCTGTTAAAACAGCAAGATGCAAGGAGGTTTTTCCAATTAGAAAATGAAAATTCAGTAGGAAATAACCTTTTTGCAGAATTCATCTTTTCTCCTTGCTTACAGCCATAACAAAAAGTGCCCTCATCTGACATAAACCCCCCCCTCTGACATGTACTATAACAACACTTGTAACTTTCATTCCAGTCTTCACAATTTAGTCTCTACAATTGGTATTACTTTGCAGTTTGTCCCCTCTAGTCCATAGTTTGAGTTGATAGCTATGTCATCCATCGACAGGGGTGTACCAGTTCTTTAGGCTCTTCATTGTTATTATGTACTGATTTTGGCCAATTCTCCTTCCCACTTCCATGTTGACATATACCATGCAATATAGTCAACAAAAAACTGATGAGTAGACATAGCAAGTGTGGGGAAGTGTAGATTAAGTGTGAACAGTGTATGAATAACGATGGGAAGTAAGAAGAGATGGAATTGACTTACGAGGGCATTTTATGTATATTTTATGTAATAACACAAACTTTTGAGCCTAGTCTGATGAAGCAGTAGGGCACTACTATGGATGATTTTCTGGAGTGTGACAGTCTAGTTTTCTGTAATGCTGTTAAATGTGAACAATATGGTGTATGGATTGGTATCTTTATTGAGTTTCTTTAACCTTCTTCTATAGGTATTACTTTCCAGTCTTCTTTGGCCAAGTGCATCTCTAGCCCCTGAAATTGGGGAACAGTGTATTAATCATCTTGGTTTCATTTTGCAGTGAGCTGCGATCTGTGAAGGATTTAAGACACTATTTTGAGAAGGTAAGCGGTGAAATGGACAGTGTCTTGCAACGCTCTTCCGGTGTATCCCGTTCCCGTGCTGCTCATGATGTAGACGACATGAAGAATCTGGTCATAGCTACTCGTAGAGCTTTTCGTCACACAAGCATCGATTATGTTCATGCCATATCAATAGCACAAGGAAAAAAGCGCCATGAGGTGGTTGATGCTGTAAGTATGGATGTATTGTATTTGTTATTTTATCCTTTAAACTATGGTTGTATTTGGTGCTCACCATATGAGCAGAAATTTGTGTTATTAAATAGTAGATTTGCATACAAAATTATTGGAAAAGAAATAGAATAACAATTAGGGGAGGGAGGATTTGGATGACTTATTCAAAAAATTTTGATCACTTTGTTAATTCTTACAAATACAGTATACATCATTGGTGGTGACATATAACTGTATGTACAGATATATTATGCTACTATCAGTACATAGATTACTGTATATATATAGATATTATGCTGATAATAGTATATAAAATATAACACTATTACTGTACAGTGGAACCTCGAGTGACAAGCGCCTCAATCTACGAGCATTTCGAATAACGAGCGAGCCACTCGGCGAAAGGTTCGTTCAGTGAGTGTCAGGTAGACTGTTACATTTTCTAAAAAAAAAAAAAATAAATAAAAATAAAAAATGAAAATTTGAAAAAAATTAAAAATGTCATAAAGGTTTGTTCAGTAGGCTGCTTCATTTTCTAAAAAAAAAAAAAAAAAAAAAAAAAAAAAAAATTGAAACAAGACAAATGTTATAAAAGATCGTTCAGTGTAAGTCAGGTAGGCTGCTCCATTATTTAAAACGGGGAATATCATATTGATGTTTTTCCGTGGTGGAACGGATTAATTTTATTTCCATTATTTTAAATGAGGAAATTCGTTTTGAAAGACGAGCGTTTCACATGACGAGCGTTTCACATGACCAGCTCGGTGCCAGAACGGATTACATTCGTTAATCGAGCTTCCACTGTACAGGTATATGATAAATGTGCTATTTACTGTACATAATATCCTATTTCTAGAACATTATTTTGTTTCACTACTTGTTTAGTGTGGTAATGTAAAACACACTACTATGCAAAGCCTAGCACCTCACTCTTTACATCATATACCAACTAGTTTGTTTATCTTGTGCTTGTACTTCAGCATACATTTACACCTGATACTGTCTTTGTCAGATTGATCTTTTTTCAGTTGCTGGGATAGCCAAATGGCAATAAATACCATGTTTCTGGGGGGAGCCCCGTCGGCTCCCCGGAGCTATCCCAGGCTGATATGCTAATGTCAGACTTTGGCATCAGTCATGTGTATGGAGTTCTTAGGCCTACCGGGGACCACGGCCAGAACCGGGCCCCCTCAGAGAGGCAAGGGGAGCAATGGCCTATAGAAGCCCCCGTGTAGTTGGAAGCATTCTATGTCTGCCATCGACCGGAACAGGCACCCAGAAAGGTAAGCGCCCCAAAACAAACCCCTATTCTGGTTAAAATTGCTACCTAATACCGAACTAGTGGATAGAACTCCCCAACCGAAAACAAGCAAATTAGTGTGACGTCACACACTGCCGCGCCGCTGTCTGCGCAGCTCCCCCCTCCCCGGGAGGGGGAAGGGGGAGCCCCAGACCCCCCGCGCCGGCTACCCACACCTCAGTTCTTGAGGCTGATGCTATAGGCGATGGTCGTGTGCTCTGGCTCCGGTGTCGCTACTGCACTGTGCTTTGAGTGTGGTGTTAGTTTTGTGGGTGCGAGAGCCAGGAGTTATCTTCAGTACTCGGGCTGCATGCGCCTAGGGCTGCCTTCCCTAGGTGCCCTGTAAGTACTGCCCTTGGGGCTTGGGGCCACCTTCCACAGGCTCCTCGGGGTCTGCCTCTGCTGGTCCGTTTTACCTTTCGGTTTTTCGGCCGCCTGTTGGGCTCTTGGGTGTTCTGTTCTCCCTTGTTACCGGCAGGTAAGAGGCAGTTTGCACTGGTAGGGGCGCAGGGTGCTGCTCAGCTTGTACTTCCCGACATCGCGGCCGGCTCTGTTCCTTGGGGTTCGCTGTCCTCTTGCGGGGTTTTGTTTTTCTTTTTGTTTTTGCCTGGTGGGGGGTTCTGTCATTTTATTCAGTTTGTTTTTGCCCTTCCACTGTTCTCCTCGGTGGCGCCCCCTGCTAGGTCCCCGTGAGTGTACACGTCCCTGGGGTTCAGCTTTAGAAGTTTGCTTGGTAGTTTTGGGCGCCGGTTTGCAGCACCCTGCCTGGGACTACCTGAGCGCGAGTCCTCTTAAAGTAAACGCTCAGGACCCTGGGAATCCCCTAGGGGGCGCGTGGGTCCGATGGATGTGACCCCGGAGTCCCCACTCGCTGTGTGCGAGTTTGAGGGTTGCTCGGTCCCCTTGTCTCAGGGTGACCCTCATTGTTTTTGCCTCTGCCACGCTGCCTGTTGGGTCGGTGATACTTTTGACCCTGAGTCCTGTGAGTGTTGCTGCTTGCTTGTGACTCAATTTACCCAATCCTCTGATGATTCTATTCGGGTACAGGCGGCACGTGCGTTGCAGTCTAGGTTTCGTCTGTTGCAACGCGCTCGGTTGGTTGCTTCCCCGGATGCCCCGGGGCTGCCCCGCTTTGCTTTTCGAGACCCGGACTTGGGGGTGGGGGTCGCTTCGATCCTGGTTCAGTCCGCACCTCCTCGTCCTTCCCCTTCTGTTCGTTCTGGTCCCCCGCCCCTGCTTCCGGCCCCGGAGCGTCTGAGGGTTTCGGGGTCGGAGCAGGGGTTACTTGATCTCGAGACTCGGGCAGCTTCGGGGGTTGCCCCTTCCGGGGGGGCGGCAGATGCATTCGAGTCTTGTCTCCCGGCCGAAGCTTCAGGGTCTGACCAGTGGGCCCCCCTTCCTCCAGCTTTTCCGGCTGCTCCGTCCTTGTCTTGTGGGGTCGGGGCTTGGGGAGAGGACTCGGCCTCGGGTCCTGTGGTGACGGACCTCGAGGCTGGGGAGGGGCTGACTTGGGGGCCTTGGGCCCTGCTGGACCCCGCCTGGGTTTTTCTTCCCACTGAGCGGGGCTTATTGTTACAAGGAGTGGGGTTTTCTTTCCCCCCCTCTGCGTACGAGTTGGATTTGGTGTCGGCCCCTCCCCGGGTACGGTTCCGTGTTTCCCCGGGTACGTCGGTTCCATCCTTCCGGAGGTTTTCGGCTTATCGCATCCAACCTGGTGTGGTGCGAGCGGCCTTTGCAGCTTACCTCCTGCGTGACCCGGATTATGCCTCGGAAATGGATCCGTCCACGTTCAGGTTTGGGACTTCGTTCCCTTTCTGGCTCCGTTACGAGGTTCCGGAGTCATCCTGGCTAGCAGACTGCCCCTTGTTTGGTCTGGATTCCTGGCATTCCTTCTGTCGTTCCTGCACGCTGGAGTGGCGGGAAGCTTCCACGGTGCTTCAGGTTTTCCTGGGGGGTGAACTTGAGTACCTGAATGAGTGCTTGTTTGCCCCTGCCCTTCCCCGCGATGTGGGCGTTATTCAGCTCCATGTGCAGGTTCCCTCCCTTTCGGCGGCGCTCGTGGCGGAGGACTTGCGCGCTCGGGGCCTTTTGTGTTCGGCCTTGCGGTTCTTTTCCCTCCTGGAGCTGTCTTCGGATTGGCTCGTGGAGGATGTGGGGACGCTTGGGTCCGTCCCGGGGTCCGGCACCTTGTCCTCGGCTGCGCGTTCGTCGGCTGCCTTGTTGAAGCTGTTCACGCCGATTTTGCGGGATGCGGTTTCCCTGTTCTATGCTTCCCGTCTCGCGTGTCGGCAGGCGGTGCTGGGTTCCTCCGTGGAATCTGCTTGGGCTCTGGCTCTTAGGCGTTCTTCACCTTTTTGTCCTCTCCTGTTTGGGGAGTCGGCCGTGGCGCAGTTTATTCAGGCTGCGTCGGCGGCTTGTCGTCCGATGTCGGACTTGTTGGTTTTCCGGGGGTCCCGGGGTGGGTCTTCCCGGAAAGGTCGTGCCAGGGCTCGGGGTTCCTCTCGTCGTGGTAGGCCTCTGGTGTCAGGTTTGGGGTTGGCTCCTCCTGCGGACCCTCCCTCGTCTGGTCGGCGCGGTGTTCGCGCTGTGCGGGGTTCTGGGTCTCGTAAGGGTCGCCGGCCCTTTCGCGGTTTGCCCCTTTGACGGGGCGATGGGGGGGCGGCTTGCGCTGTTCGCCCGCGCCTGGTCCCACGATTCGTGGGCCTTTCGGGTCGTGTCTCGCGGCCTGCGGTGGCGTTGGGTGGCCCCTCCCCCCTTTGGGGGGTCGGGGCTGGCGGGGCAGGCTTCTTCCCCTGCGCTCTGTCGAGTCGTCTTGGAGTGGGTACGCTTGGGCGTCGTCGAAACGACGTCGTCCCTCAGATGGGTTTCCCGTCTGTTTCCGGTTCCGAAACGGGACTGCGCGGACCTGCGGTTCATTCTGGACTTGTCCCGTCTGAACCCCTGGGTTCATTGCCCCTCCTTTCGGATGACTACGCTGTCTCAGGTTCGGCTCCTCTTGGAGCCGGGTGCTTGGATGGTGTCCCTGGACCTCCGGGACGCTTATTGGCATGTCCCGATTCATCCGCGGTTCAGGGACTGGCTCGGTTTTGTAGTGGGGCGTCTGAGTTACCGCTTTCGTTGTCTCCCGTTCGGGTTGAACCTGGCACCTCGCATGTTCACACGCCTTACACGGGTTGTGGTGGCTCGTTTGCGTCTCCTAGGTGTTCGGGTGTTGGCCTACCTCGACGACTGGCTGGTTTGGGCTCCCAGCCAGTCAGCTTGCTTGCTAGCCAGGGATTTGGTTCTTTCCCAGCTTGCCGGGTTCGGGTTCTTGGTGAACTGGAGGAAGTCCCATCTGGTTCCCTCTCAGGTTCGGACTTGGCTGGGTCTCGTGTGGGACTCTCGGACCGCCTCCTTGTCTCTCCCTCCGGAGTCTCTCCTGCGGCTGCGGTCCCGCCTTCGTCTGTTTCTGGAGGGCCCTCGGGTCACCCGGCGGTTGCTCGAGGGGCTGAGCGGGAGCCTGAACTTTGCGATGGTGGTCTACCCGCCGGGTCGGGTTTGGCTTCGACGGCTGTTCTGGTTCCTTCGGGGTTCCCCCTTCCGCCTCTCTCGCGATCGCAGAGTTCGACCCCCGGAGGACTTGCGTCGGTTGCTGCGTCACCGGCTTCCTCTTCGGGTTTTTCGGGGTTCAGTGCCTTGGCGCCTACCCGAGCCCTCGCTCGATGTGTACACGGATGCGTCGTCTCTCGGCTGGGGTTTTGTGACCAGTGCTCACCAGGCCGGCCAGGGGCGTTGGGATCCGTCCTTCCGTCGAGCTCACAGTACGGTGCGGGAGTTCGCGGCAGTGTGGTTTGCTCTGGGGAGGATTCGGGTGGCCCGCGGATCGACGATTCGGCTCCATTCGGACTGCTCTCCGGTGGTTCATTGCCTGAACCGCGGGGGTTCGATGCGGTCCTTGTCTCTTTGGGGTTGGTCGCTTCGGGTGACTCGTCTGCTGAGTTCTCGGGGTTTGGCTCTCCTGGCGGTTCACGTACGGGGCGTGTCCAACGTCTTGGCCGACGCCCTGTCTCGCTTCGTTCCCCTCTCCACGGAGTGGACGGTCGACGACGAGTCCTTCCGTTGGCTTTGCCAGACGTTCGGGCGCCCCGAGGTGGACCTCTTCGCGTCGGCGTGGTCGCGGCGTCTTCCCGTTTATGCGGCGCCCTTCCCCGATTGCGAGGCCGTCGGGGTCGATGCCTTTCGGCTCGACTGGTCGAGGTGGGGGTTCCTGTACCTCTTTCCCCCAGTTCGGCTGTTGCTCCAGGTCCTGACTCGCTTAGAGACTTACCGGGGAGAGTTGTCCTTCTGGCCCCTTGGTGGCCGGCCCAGCCTTGGTTTCAGGCGCTGGTTGCTCGGTGTCCGAACCCGAGGGTTTTCCCGCGGCTCCGCCTCTTTCAGCAGATCGGGCCGGTACGTCACGTAGCTGGTTCGATCTTCTCCTCGAGTCTTCGCGTATGGTTTTTTTGACTCGAGTCTATCATCATCTCTATGGTGATCAGGTGGCCTCCTTGTTGGTGTCCCACCTGAGGGCTTCTTCTCGGCGGCAGTATGAAGTTTCCTGGCGGTCCTTCCGTTTCTTTTTGCGTCTTCGTCGTGTTAGCTCCTTGTCTGTTCGGGTGGTCTTGTCCTTCCTCTCGTGGTTGTTTCAGGACCGTCATCTTATGCCTAACACTGTCGCTTCGTATCGTGCGGCGCTGGCGGAGCCGCTTCAGCTTGCTTTCGGTATCGATGTTACGTCTGCGCCGTTTCGCAAGCTGTCTCGTGCATTGTTTCACCTCCGGCCTGCTCATGCGTCGCCTGAGCCGTCCTGGTCTTTGGACAGAGTGCTCGCTTTCCTTTCATCTCCTCGTTTCGTTGTGGCCCCTTCGGTCCAGGATTGTTTTTCCAAGGCACTTTTCTTGTTGGCTTTGGCCTCTGGGGGTCGGGTGGGGGAGCTTCATGCTCTCCTCCGGCGCAGGGGTTTCTGCTCTTTTGGTCGTGGTGATAGTTTTGTTCGTTTGCAGCCGTCTCCTTCTTTTCTGGCGGAGAATGAGACTGCTGCGTTCCGGAGGGGTCCATGGGTGGTTGATGCTTGGTTGGTCAGGCCGGGGGTGCATCATGTTTTGTGTCCGGTTGCGGCGCTTCGCCGTTATTTGCGCGCCACAGCTTCTGTGTCCGGGGACGCGCTGTGGGTTGATCCGGTTTCCCTTCTTCCCTGTTCGCGGGTTCGGGTCTCTCAGGTCGTCCGCAGGGTTATTAGGTCTAGCCAGCCTGCGGTCTATCCCCATGCCCATGACGTTCGTAAGTTCGCGGCTCTTGCTGCCGTCTTTGGGAATATGTCTTTGGTCTGATATTCGGGCGCGGGGATTTTGGCGGTCGAACAGGGTCCTGGCTGCTCGTTACCTTGTGAATGTCCCTGGCCCTCGTCGGGCCTGTGTTGCTTTGGGTCGGCGGTTGCAGCCAGTTGTCTCGGCTTCGAGTTGAGGGGTGAGCGACGACCGCCTCCCGGGTAAGTCCCTCTTTTTCTGTCTGTGGGTAGTTAGCTCCGGGGAGCCGACGGGGCTCCCCCCAGAAAACCAGCGTTGAATGTAATGAAACGCCATTTTCTGGGTGAGTCCCGGAGGCTCCCCGGCATCCCTCCCTCCCTCCGGTCGGCGGTTTTTCGCGTTTTTGACATCCAGCCTCAAGAACTGAGGTGTGGGTAGCCGGCGCGGGGGGTCCCCCTTCCCCCTCCCGGGGAGGGGGGAGCTGCGCAGACAGCGGCGCGGCAGTGTGTGACGTCACACTAATTTGCTTGTTTTCGGTTGGGGAGTTCTATCCACTAGTTCGGTATTAGGTAGCAATTTTAACCAGAATAGGGGTTTGTTTTGGGGCGCTTACCTTTCTGGGTGCCTGTTCCGGTCGATGGCAGACATAGAATGCTTCCAACTACACGGGGGCTTCTATAGGCCATTGCTTCCCTTGCCTCTCTGAGGGGGCCCGGTTCTGGCCGTGGTCCCCGGTAGGCCTAAGAACTCCATACACATGACTGATGCCAAAGTCTGACATTAGCATATCAGCCTGGGATAGCTCCGGGGAGCCTCCGGGACTCACCCAGAAAATGGCGTTTCATTACATTCAACGCTGGTTTTTTAGGCCACCATACACCTAGACACACACATCCACACACCATACACAAGTCCGCACATCCTCAAACCATGCACCTTCACTCCTTCACCCTCACACCATGTCACCAGTGTGGAGTCTTTGTTAAACTTCAAAGGAAGGTAGAAAAGGTACCATACCTAAGGAATGGCACCAAGCTAGTGCCATAACTGAGAGGTATAGAATGATCTTGAGGAAAGACAAGGAATCACATCACATCTTAGAGAAAAGAATCAGGGAAGACATGACTACCACATACAAAATTCTTCGAGGAGTAGTCGGATCAGAAAAGTACAGATTTGTTATGGGTGCTATTGATTGAAACTAAGTACATGAATGGGCCATAGAGATACTAGAAAAAATGGTTTGCATGTTAAGAATAGTGAAGAAATGGAGTACACTAATAGGGGAAGTGAGGGAAGCAGACAGTTGCACACTGCTTCAAATGTAGATATAACAGCCCAGTATGCTCGGGAAAAAAAAAGAGGAATCTGTACATTAGTCAGCTGAAGATTGAAAAGTGAAACCAGATGAGCTGAAGCTCATCAATGACCAGTACAAGTGGGCAGGTACCCACTCTATATTGTGTGCCATAAAACTGTACCACACATTACTCACCCTTACCACCTTCGCACTCTATAGACCTTCTTGAGGTTATCTTGAGATGATTTCGGGGCTTTTTAGTGTCCCCGCGGCCCGGTCCTTGACCAGGCCTCCACCCCCAGGAAGCAGCCCGTGACAGCTGACTAACACCCAGGTACCTATTTTACTGCTAGGTAGCAGGGGCATAGGGTGAAAGAAACTCTGCCCATTGTTTCTCGCCGGCGCCTGGGATCGAACCCAGGATCACAAATCCAGCGTGCTGTCCGCTCGGCCGACCTGCCCATAACTTCACCTTAACTCTCATCATTCTTAAATTTGTCAGTTATATATATTTTTGGTTTCACTTTCATGCTTTGGTTCTGAGATGTTTTCATTACTATTACTACTATCATTCATGAACACTTGTATTTTTTTATTGTGTTCAAAAGCCTTCTCCCATTTGTGTAAATGATGAATATGAGATAAAGGGCTGTACTTATTTCTGCTTGTGACTGTATGGTACCAAAACAGGAAAGAGCTTTGGTGTGTTGTAGGTGATTCCATAACATCTGTGGAGGCCTAAGAAAAATATTCCACTTGGGCTGGATGGTCTCGCTTCATTCAGATCGGCATTTCTGTGTTCAATCCCCGGCCGTCAAAGTGGTTGAGCACTATTCCTTCCCCCTGTCCCTTCCCACATCCTTATCCTGATCACTTCTCTGGGCTGTATAGTCGTAATGGCTTGGCACTTTCCCCTGATAATTCCATTCCCATTGGTATTCAGTCACTGGCATGAAAATTAAGAACATTATTCTGAGATTGCTGTTGTCATTTGGTGATCAATACCTGATGATGATCACTAAGTGGTGAATAAGTAGAAGGGAAATTGGGTGAATTAGCTTAAACATTCTGGGGAATAAGATTATACTGTAGTTAATTTAAATTTTATTACAGTATGTATGTATATTATAAATAGTGTGAATTTCTTTCTTCTTTCAGCTTTTGTCGTATTTGAAGGCCTACAGTACCTTCTACCACCAAGGTACTGATCTCTGTGATGACCTGAAACCTTCTCTTGATAAGATTAGCCAAGAGGTATGATATTTTCTGAGTAACAATAACCTTTTATTTATTAAATCCTGAAAAATGTTTCATACCAGTACTGTAGCAATTCTATGGGTATGTGGAAGATTGAATGCCTACAGGGAAGAGCAGTATTAAAGAGAAAAATTATACAAATTAATGGAAACAAATTGATACTGTACTAGATTTTAGAAAGATGAAAATTATGGGAGGGCCATTAGAATTAATATTTTATATTGCATGTTAAGGGAGTTATTGTACCACTATACAGTACCTGGATTGTACTTGTATGGGGTGCTGGGAGTTCTGCTACCCAAACCTGGCCCAGGTCCAGGCTTGATCTATGAGAGCTGGGTCTAACAGGCTGTTGCTTGGAGTGGCCCACAGGCTCGCGTATCCACGTGGGCCAGGCTTGACCTGTGAGTGCTTGGTCCAACAGGCTGTTGCATGGAGTGGCCCACAGGCCCATGTATCCATTACAACCCGGTTGGTCTGCACTTCTTGCAGAAAACTATCAAAATTTTTCTTTAAGATTTCCAATTTTATTCCTGCAATATTTCTTAAACTTGCTAGGAGAATGTTGAACAACCATGGACCTCTGATGCTTAGCATTCTCTAATTGTGCCTGTGGGACCTCTACTCTTCAATGACTCTTCTGTTTTTCCTTCCATGTCGTTATTTTACTGTGCAAGTTAGGGTATCTTCCATGTACAGGGCATATATATATATATGTCGTACCTAGTAGCCAGAACGCACTTCTCAGCCTACTATGCAAGGCCCAATTTGCCTAATAAGCCAAGTTTTCATGAATTAATTGTTTTTCGACTACCAAACCTACCTAACCTAACCTAACTTTTTCGGCTACCTAACCTAACCTAACCTATAAAGATAGGTTAGGTTAGGTTAGGTAGGGTTGGTTAGGTTCGGTCATATATCTACGTTAATTTTAACTCCAATAAAAAAAAATTGACCTCATACATAATGAAATGGGTAGCTTTATCATTTCATAAGAAAAAAATTAGAGAAAATATATTAATTCATGAAAACTTGGCTTATTAGGCAAATCGGGCCTTGCATAGTAGGCTGAGAAGTGCGTTCTGGCTACTAGGTACGACATATATATATATATATATATATAATTTGGTACCGTTCTCATCTCCTTTCAAGAGAGTATATTTAGAGAGTTATGAGACAATCCCAATAGTTTATTAAGCTTTATCATGCTTTATCATATCTATGCGTGCTGTGTATGTTCTTTGTGTTTCCTCTATTTCAGCAGTCTCCTGCTCTGAAAGGGTAAGTGAGCATCGAACAGTTCTCTAGGAAGCTGATATCACTGGTCTGGTTTGTTTTTTGTCTGCATTGGTGATTGGATTGTTTGTCTTCCTTATCTGATTCTGAGGTGGGATGTTTTCTTGAAGTTATCTAACTTTTGGGCTCTTTTGAAGCTTAATGTACAGGATATATTACACACATGTATAGTCGGCATCGGATCTTTGATTCACCATGCATCTAAGAGGTTGGGAGCTTCTCTCCTTACAGAAAGTTTGAGTAACTCTCTGATTTAAAAGGTCTTTTTTTTTTTTTTTTTTTTATCTTTCAGTACTGTATATACACAAATTCTCAGTCTTGTAAAGCCACTACCACACACAGCATTTCGTGCAGGTCCTTAATCTTTTTGCTCGTGTTGACCTATAGAAATGAATTTAATGTACAGTCCTTGTCTCTGTTAAATTATATTTATTCCCACTCCAGTAAAAGTTTGTTTGTGCAGGAAAAAGTATTTATGTGTAGAAACATACAATGCAGTATGGTAGTTTTATTCCAGTGTAACTGCATAAGCTGATTATAGCTTATGAATTTTGTTTTTTGTTTTTCAAGGTGAATTTAATGAGACATGAAGTTAGTGACCTGGAAAAGACCTTAGAAAACAGACACACAGATGTCACAGATAAAGACTTGGTGTTGTCACTGGACCAGATGGACACTACCAAGCTAGTCAATATGCATGGATATCTGTTTAAACGGACCACCAACGCTTTCAAGACATGGAATCGACGTTACTTTACTCTCCAAAATAACCAGTTGGTTTACCGCAAGCGGTCAGGTAAGGTAAAGTTTAAATGAGTTTATCTGCATGTACTGTATTTCTTTTAAATTTTACATTTAAAGTTGTTACTACACAGGCAACCCAATCATATAGGTATTTTCTATAAACTATATACAACATGTGTATATTTGTAAGCATGAGTGAGTGAAATTCCATATGAGAGCTACATTTGTGGTTTCCTATCTTCCTTGTAATTTGTTCAAGCTTCTAATTATTTTTGCATTCCCCCTATATTCAATTTTTTTCAGTTTTGCTTTCTTAGTTTGAATCTGTGACCTCTTGTTCTCGATATTGTGCATTTCTTGTACTCGCCTAATTGTGCTTGCGGGGGTTGAGCTTTGGCTCTTTGGTCCCATCTCTCAACTGTCAATCAACTGGTGTACAGATTCCTGAGCCTACTGGGCTCTATCATATCTACATTTGAAACTGTGTATGGAGTCAGCCTCCACCACATCACTTCCTAGTGCATTCCATTTATTAACTACCGACACTGAAAAATTCTTTCTAACGTCTCTGTGGCTCATCTGGGTACTAAGTTTCCACCTGTGTCCCCTTGTTCGTGTTCCACCCATGCTGAAGAGTTTGTCTTTGTCCACCCTGTCAATTCCCCTGAGAATTTTGTAGGTGGTTATCATGTCTCCCCTTACTCTTCTGTTTTCCAGGGATGTGAGGTTCAGCTCCTTTAGCCTTTCCTCGTAGCTCATTCCTCTCAATTCCAGGACGAGCCTGGTGGCATACTGCTGAATCTTCTCTAGCTTTGTCTTGTGTTTCCTGGAGACCAATCCTGGAGCTGCATACTCCAGGATTGGTCTTACATAAGTGGTATACAGGGTTCTGAAAGATTCCTTACACAAGTTTCTAAAGGCAGTTCTTATGTTGTCCAGTCTAGTGTGGTAGTGGTGATGTCACCTCATTTTCTTCTGTCTATACATTTTGGCATATTAATGCCGAATATATCTTATAGCTCTATGTTGAAGGATTGCTAGGCATTTGGTGAAGAGTCCCAGTAGTACAGTCGGGTTCGTTCTTGATTCACAATTGAGAATTGCAGGTTCGAATCCCGGGTGGGACAGAAATGGTTGGGTGCATTTCCTATCACTTAAAAGCCCAGTTCACCTAACAGTAAATAGGTACTCAGGAATTAGTCAGCTTTCTGTGAGGTTGCATCCAGGGCTGGGTCAGTAATTCAACCTTGGGGGGGGGGGGAAGGGGGGGGAGATCCCTATATAAGCCTAACATGTATGAATGCACTCAGCTTCCTGTCCTTTGACACAATGAATTATTATTATTATTATTATTATTATTATTATTATTACTATTATTATTACTATTACTATTATTTAGTAATATGTGTCTTTTCACTTTTGCTAATTTATTGATACAGTAAACATTTTTAGATATGAGCAGCATACAACTATGGCATATTCTAATGTAGCATTAACTTGTGTAATATTTTGTATTTTTGTTTAAGCATTCCTCTTTATATGTCTTTAAAAGTAATTGTGAAGTTGATCAGTGTAGCATAGGCTCCTCTTACTTTATGCCCTTGATCTGATCATCTGGCAACAGCTTACTATCTAACACTACCCTTTAACTCAGTTGTAGTTTTTATTTTTTTGGTGGATTGAATGTTGCTTTGTTTTGCTTATTGTACACTTATTAAGTGGTATATATCCAATTTGAATACCTTTTCCCATTTATTGCTCCACACAAATATTTTAACTTCATTATTTTGAAGGGCATGTCAGTCGCCTAAGTCTTTATTCTTTCCCAAAGCTTAGCCACATCTGCAAACATATTCATATAGCTGTATAAATTTGGGTAGATCATTTATATAGCCGCTGAACATTACTGATACTGGCATCAATCTTTCTGAAATTATAATGGTGACATTCCTTCATTTTGATTCATTGCCACTTTATCATTGTTATTGTTTTAGGTCCAGATAGATGCAGTCTGCCCAGCAGTCTTTCCTTTTCAGATTTACTGTGGCCTTGTACAAAAAAAAAGTGAAGTAATTTTTGTATGCATAATCTCCTAGTCTTAAAACCAAACTGATATTCCATTATAATTTCTTTCAAGATACTGTATTCTACTTATTTAGTTTTACTTATATTCTCTAGTGGCTTCCTTACTAGTTAATGATGACCAAACCACATACCAGAAAATAGAGAAATGATGACGTTTCAGTCCATCCTGGACCATTATCAAGTCATGTGAGGGAGACTCGCACAACTTGACAATTGTTCAGGATGGACCAAAAATCGTTGGTTCTTCATCTTCTAAGTTGTGGTTTGATCATCAGTTCTTCACCCAAGTAATTGTGACTCATCATCTGCCTAAAGGTGGCGGATATTGTAGGCCAAAGATTTCTTCTTTTCTGGTGAATACAAAATCCAACAATGACGACATCATCTTCCTTCACTACCATTATCAGATTGATGTGCTGATGCATAAATGTCTCCATCTGGCTCATGTTCCTCTTGAACCTATTTGGTCCTTTTATAGTCTTGTCATTTGCTTCAATTTTTTGTGTCCTGCTGAGGATTTTTTCAAGGTTGCATTTCTGCTGACTTTAGCTTCTGGCAGTTTTCTTATCAAACTTCATGCTCTTCACCAGTAGCCTGAGTATTTTTTTTTTGTCATGATGGCTATTATCTGTCTCGAGCCTTCTTCTTCTTTTAATTGAATTAAAGTTTGTCCAACTGAGGGTGCTCTCCTTGGTCTTCCAAAGAGGTTGTTCAGTTTAGTACTCACCTAGTTGTGCTTACGAAGCTTGAGCTCTGGCTCTTTGGTCAGTCTGCTTCATTATGTGCACAAGTATTCCACCATTGTGGCTTTCTTTGCTAATGCTGTATGTCTAAGGCTAATATCTGTGCAAAGAGTTTCTGGCAATCCAACAGGGTGTTGGCTGCCTATTACTTTTTGGATGTCCTGCATCTTTACTGTATTTGTGTGATGCTTGTGCAGGTGATGTGCTGCTAATTCTAGTTTTCTTTGAGTGTTGGTCTTCTGCTTCTCTCGTGTGTATTCTGTTTCAATAAAACAATTTTATCCAATGTGTCATTGTGAGTAGGCATCAGGGAGCTAATGAGAGGCCAGTAGCTCTGTGTCCTATAGTTCTCTCTTCCTTATGAGGATAACAGGTGATTTAGGCAGCACTTGAGTAAGGACATTTGCCGACTGTGACCCTGGGTGACCTGGGCTGCAATCTGGTGGTGATCAGGCAAGATGAAGTGGGAATTGCTTTCCTGTGACCCACTATTATTTGCATTGTTTCTTAACTTTCATTTCTTAAGAGAAGTTATTTGTTTTGCCTGTGATATTCAGGTGGTTTTCTTGGCGTTTGGTTGATCTTGAATCCATACACTACTGTGTGTGTATAACCCTGCCTTACTTTATGAATAGTAAATAAGAATTTGTAATTTATTTTCGTATAATCTCCATAAGTGTTTCTATAAATTTGTAAGAAACTTTTTTGGTTTGAATTGTTATTCTTTCATCATGGAGCTATGGGGAAAAGAAACATTTTATCATTTCTTAGCACTGAAATTATGGCAACTACTGACTGGCAAATGTATTGCTATACATCAGTGTCGGAATATTTTGTTATTTGGATACAGGATAATTTAATATTACCTAACAAAATGTAACTTTTACATTTGACTCTAACACAGTAAAAATAGATATGGTGACAGTGCATCTTAATCTTAACTCATTCCATTAAAGTTTTCTTAGTAAAATTACTAAAAAAAAATACCTGAGAGCCTCCAGTTTTCTTTTATTTTACTAAAAATAGTATATAGTTATATGGCTATCGATCGGTATCCATATGCAGCACTCATTAATCATTAATTTGGTAAGCTTCATTCATGGATAATATTTTCTTTGTCTATATGTTTAGACAAACCATCAGCACTAAATCATTGATGGGAATATGGTATTTCTTAATATGATAATCTTTACTGGTTAGTATCTACTAAAATATTTACATTTCTAAACACATATTGTTTTATTTATAATTGCGTGACAATAATTAACAAATAATATTGTATAACACATTGTAAGATCTGTTTGTATGCCAAGTTATATATCAGAATTTGTCACGAGGAGAATGTTGTCCATTCCTGTAGGATTTTTAATTAGTTCATAACAAATTTCATTTTATTTTTTGAAAGGAAATAACTCTTGAACTACCTTTCTTATATTTCTCTGTACAATAGCTTGATTCTCGTCTATTAATGTAGTTTTTCTCGTACTCTTCCAAGGTATTCGAAAGTCTATCAGGAACTCGGGAGGAAGTAATCTGCTCAATAGTCGTTTGATGCGAGTGCACGGAGGTCTGTGTTGCTACTACTTCTGTGTAGCTCTCATTTGCTCTAAGGTTAAATATTAATTATTTCCCAGCAAACCTTAGAGTAAGTGGGAGTCAATAAATTATTATCACATGCACACTTAGAGCAGCATGAAACTAAAACCGTAGTCACTGTGTCTATAGCCTCACCCATGATATTCTCAGCACGATTAAAGAGCGGTATAAAATGCACATACAGTACAAGTACATACTCTCATACTTGTACAAAATGGTCAAATAAAATGCTTGAAATATAAAATGACAATGTAGATAACATTTTTAGTAAATAATGAGAGTTTGATGTATACTGTACTGTAATTATGAGATGAATACTGTATTGAATTGCTGACTGACTGCAGCAATATGAAGCAAAAGCAAAAAGGATAGAAAGAATAATATGTGTGAGTGTTTCTTGATACAGAAGAGATAATGAATGGTAATGCTGATTAAGAAAACAGGATGTGATAAATATTGAGATTTGTGGACCATTAATTTAATTAGCAGGTAAAGTTTTAGATTTCATATTGAATCCGTGTCCCCACAATATGTCTTAACATATTGTGGAGATGGATTTGAAAAATATTACTTGAAGAGGAGTGGTTAGGCTAAATTGTCAATTTTTTTTTGTTTAAGTCCTCGTTCAACAATCCTCGTTCAACATTACCAAAATATTATCCATCCTAGCATTGCTTGTATGACTTTTGTTTGCTGTGAATACAAATCTGTAATGTATTTGTGTTAGGAATAGTAAGCATGCTTGTAATATGCACTGTAACTTTGACACTTTTTATTTTGTGCATGAAAACTGTTCTAATGTTGCCTGGGTTCGATTTCTGTACATATTCACGACAACTTCAGTTTGCGGAACTTTATGGAACCAGACCTAATGCATCATTATGGTGCATTTGTTGTGGCCGGCGGTGCAGGAAGAAGGGGTGGAATTTTTTCAAATTCTAGTGTAAGGAATAGAACACCTCATTATACATATATAGACAACAAAATGATGTATAAAGAATACAGTTAAAATACATGTATATTGAAAGGTAAAATAGAGGAAGAAAAGATAATAATGAAAAAAAAGGATGCAACTGCATTTGGGAGTTACTTTAGAGAAGAACTTATTAATGCTCATGTTCTATGGGTGAATTTTACTGAACAAAATCTTAATTTCAGTCTGTTATAGGTGTGCATACATACCAGCAGAACCTGACTGGACAAACTTCTCCATCACGGCCATTTTTTCTCATGCCTCACCCTTTGACCCTTGTTTTTCAAAGGTTGTGTGATGACTCCAGGAGGAACAAAAGTGTGGCTAACTAAAAATTAAGACTACCTTACAATTTTGTTTTGAGTGTTCTCAGTGCTGGTTGATACATACTGCTTCTATCCAAATATTGAATCATTTTTCTTCCTCCATTCCTCCATCCTTTGAACTCACGAATTTGTGCATATCACACTGGCCCCATATTATTATATGGTTATTCTGGTGCAAACCTAAATGTGAGAGATGTAGCTAGAGATCAAATGAATCAAGTGATTACTTAAGTACTTCCGTATTTAATAATGCATCTTCAGAAGGATGGATTTACGAGATTGATTGATTGATAGAGATTAAGCCACCCAAGGGGTGGCACGGGCATGAATAGCCCATAAGTGGAGGCTGTTTGGAGCCAGTACCAGTAGCTGATACTGCAGATCTGTGGATGAATGGGGTCTTCATGGTCACTCGCAGTTTATATCCTGTAGGAGGCTTGGCTGTTCAGGCGTTTCTCCTGCAGGAGGCTCTGACTGTACGTGAATTTTGTCATTGAATTATATGTACAGTATACTAATATATCCATATTCAAAGTACTGTAATAATGTATGCTCTTCAAGAAACAATAAAATTTGCAAATTGTGAACTTTGTTCCATATACAATACAGTACCAGTATACAGTAGTATCCTTTTGAATCTGCTGTGATAGCATGAGTTTCTAAGCTATCTTGCTCAGTTGCTCTCAGAGGTAAGTATTCACTCTCATAAACTAACATGAATTCAGGACAGTACTAATTAATGTTAATTTCTAATGTATACACCTGTATTACAACATGCTTTCAGTATTATGAATGTGTTAAAATATGAATACTGTACTGTATATGCATGTATTACTATTTCTGGTAAAATTGCAAATAATTGTTTTAGGAAATGGTAAAGAATATGCCAGTGTTGGATGCAACAAAATTTAGGAATGAAATGGAAAAGCGATCAATCCCAATTAGTCAGAGCAAGAAGTACACAGAATTTTTACTTCAACTAGTTATTTTCCAGTTTTCTATATGTGACCAATTCTTCTCTAATCTCATACTTTGTGTTCATCTGTTCACTGAAATTTGTTGTTTTCCCCAACTATTTTTTGTCACTTTATTTTCTTGAATTACTAAAGCCAAGGCTAGTCTCATTTGTCATACACACTTTATCCTCTAAAAGCCTCATTCATCTGGCCTCTCCCATTTTTCTTTCCCAGTTGAGTGTGCCATCTAGGTGATATAACATAGATTTTGGCAGTCTTTCTCAAATTTTAACTTTCTCCCCTTGAAGTTGTTCCTTTATCTGACAAAAGAGGAACTACTACTCTTCCAACTCTGTTTTGCAAATTATGGCTGTCTGCCTGCATAGATGGTGTATATTCCCCAAAATATCTTATTCCTTTTTTTTTAATTCATTGATAATAACCTCTGGTTTCAAATGATTTCTTTTCAGTTTGTCAACTTAGCCAAAAATAACTGCAGTACTCATTACTATTGTGTTGAATCATACAAAATTTTATTCAGTGAATGACATTCACCAAAGGATGCTGTTGGCTTTACGAGAGAAGTTGGAGATCGGCCAATGTTTGCGGAGTTAGACTTTTTAGTATAATATTTTCCTTGACTTTATTAATGGTTTCTTGGATGTTTGTATTCTTTTGATGCATGTATGTACATGTGTGTGTGTTATATGAGTAATTTACCCATGGTCATGCACGTGGTCAAACACACAGCATCCACACAGGAATATACTGTACAGTATAAAAGTTAAGATGATTTCAATGATACATTTCTAAATAATATTTACATGTATTAATTTAATAGTACTGTTTCTTTTCACAAAACACATTAGAATATATCTCCAATGCTTAAAAGATGTTTACTCTTATAGGAGAAGAGGTGACAGTTATGGAAGAAGATTTACGTTTATGCACTGTTAAGCCTGCTGTTGAGGTCGACCGTCGCTTCTGCTTTGAAGTGGTCTCTCCTATGAAGTAAGCTCTAAATAAAAGTGTGTTAGCAAGTTATCATTTTAGCTCTGTACATTTACCAACAATTATAATTGTTTAAATTGCTAGACAAGATGAAGCCGACACAAATAATTAATATTGCATAGATGTAGATAAGTCTGAACTTTATTCGTCGCAACAGTGTCTCTTTATTTGGGTTAGAAACAGAATAGTAAATCTACAGAGGGAAAAGATAGTCTGCTGTGCCTGCTAAATTTTAGTAAGAAATTTGCTGGTCTGCAAAGTTGTTAATCCCCTAAATTATATTGGTTGTATTATTCTTTCAACTGATTTTTCAGTTTCCTCATTGTAATTTAATTCATTATCTATTTTTAAAGGTACATGACCTCTTTTACAAATTGGACTTAAGTATTTGAGATTAAATAATTTTGTCTGTCCCAATAAAGTCAAAGTCTAACATATATGATATGTTGTCTTTTCTTATTTTGGCAATTTACCATGTGTGTGTTAGTACATAAAATATTTTGTGGAGGCTGGTGCATATTTATGCATTAATTATGTTTTCAGATGTCACATGCTTCAAGCTGAGAGTGAAGAGAGTTACGATTCCTGGATAAATGCTCTTCAAAGGGGTATTGGGCAAGCCCTTCAGCTGGGCACACACGACACAATCCAAGATGGCAGACAAGAGACCCCTCGCTCCTCACCACACCCACAGAAGGGATCCCTGACTCCTGCCACGCCAGTTGACTCCTCCAACTCCTCCTCTCCTGCAACCACACCCCAGGCACCTACTGTACACAAGGCTCAGTATGAACTTTTATTTGTAGGGTTTGTCTGTAGGTGAATTTTCAACACACATTTGTCAGCAACTTTCCTTTTCAAGTTGATGATTGAATCTTTTTTTTTTTTTTTTTTTTTTTTTTTTTTTTTTTACACATAAGAGCTGCTGTATTTTTTATGTTTTTTTTTCAGATTATGGCAGGAAATAATGGACATTCCTGGAAATGATCAGTGCTGTGACTGTGGTGCCAGTAATCCTAGATGGGCATCCATAAATCTAGGAATTACTCTTTGTATTGGTAAGTTGTCAAAACATAGCTGAGTTTTCCTTAGTACCAGTATTGCCTTTTCTATATTTAAACAAGAGAATTTGTGTATTTGCATTTTTTTTTTTGGCCAAATTATTTGTATATATTTGTCAATTGATATTTACAGAGTGTTCAGGCATACATCGTAGTCTTGGTGTACACTATTCCAAAGTGCGATCCTTGACGTTGGATGCCTGGGAGCCTGAGGTGCTAAAGGTAATGGGAGAGTTGGGGAACACAGTCATCAACAGTATCTACCTTGCAACTTATGCACCAGGTGGAGGCACTGGTCCTCCTGCAGCTAAGCCAGAAAGCCAAAGGTAATAGTTTTGTGATTTAATGATCCATATAATTGGTTTCCAATGTTTAGATACGCTACTTCCGACAGTCAGTACTTTAGCATACTTAACTATACTGTGTAATAAAGGTTATATAAATTTGTTATGGTCTTTTGCTACATATAACACCCAAGAGGCAGTCATAGTTTATAATTAATGGTTGGAAGAAATGTTGTACATTAAACATGTTACATCCTTTACCACCACCACCACCACTACTGCCACCACCACTACCACTGCCGCCGCCACCACCACCACCACCACCACCACCACCACCACCACCACCACCACCACCGCCGCCACCGCCGCCACCACCACCGCCACCACCGCCGCCACCACCACCACCTCTACAAATCACAACTACAGACCATGACTTTACATTCACTTTGTTCATTATACTTGTCTGTGCTCATAACACATTATGCTTATATCTCCAGCTGACACTCACTACACTAGCCTAAACTCATTACACCAACCAACACTCATTGCTCATTACACCAGCTGACACACTCAATACACTAGCTTACACTACATTACACCACTGCACCAGGCCACATTCATTACACTCCCTGTACTCATTACTGTATTATAATTGCTTCCATTTTCTTCTTATCCCACTTTAGCTTAAATCCAGCGACATATTAACTCTGCCTTTCATAATTGTTCTCATTTGATCAAAATATAGCAAGTTGAAGTTTATTATTATGGAATAACTTTTCCTTAACTTTCAGATCAGTTCGTGAGGGATGGATTAAAGCCAAGTATGTTACACGGCAGTTTGTGAAGCCACTGCCCTTAATACAGAAGGAAACAAACTCACTTTTACAAAGCTCTAGTTCTCAAGAAAATGTAAGTTAAATAAATTTGTCTGTGTTTACATATTATTTCCAGCAAAAATGGTTAAAGTAAACTCTGTATATGAATGTTAATGTACCATTTGCAAGTTTACTCTCTTGGTAGGTACAATACATGACCATTTATATTCCTGAAGAATGTGCAGTAGTGAAACATTTAATAAATTGTAATCCTTGCCCTGCACTTGGTGTTTTCCCCCTATTACAATTAAATCATGTTTGTTATCATGCTTTAGAGTGTTGTATGTGCAGTTGTATTGATTCTAATAATTTATTTCATAAATGCATTAAGTACTGTATTTTAGAATGTTTTAGTGCCATATTTGTTGAAACAGTTTGATATACAGTACAGCATATTAACTACTTGTCATTTTTAGATGCATTCAGGAAAATCTTGGAGCATTCCTCGGCGGAGACGGAAAATACGGCGAAGGAAAACCCTGCAAGCATGTCCGATAAACATTGAGGAAACCTCTAGCAATGAAGAAAACAGCAGTAGCCAAGAAGAATCTCATACGGAGACCAATAATGTGTAAGTTTAAAATAACAAAAAGTGGTTAGAAAGTGTGACACACTATTGGCTGCTCAACAGAGAGTGTGACTTGAGATTTAAGCTTCTTTTATTTAGTCAATTTAGTGTCCACAGTGAGTAATAATATAAGCCTATTCACTTTAGTTTAGTGTGTATAGGATTAGAATTAGTGGAATTTGATATATATATATATAAAATATAATATTAATACAAATATATTAATATGTATAATATATATCTTCAGATCTTTCTGAAGATGTTTTATTAAATACGATAGTAGTTGATTAAATTCCGGTCTTAACCCTTCCTTTGTGGTCTGACATTGTCATATATTAATAAATTTCTATTTTAGTTTGTAACTATCTTTTAATAATTAGTTTAATAGAATCTTAATATTTACCGGTAGTTGTGAGAGCCCAGTACCCAATAGCTGTGGTTCCAGTGATGTGGTACTACTAGACATTTCCCCTTCCCTTACCAATATGGCAACTCAAGTTCTCTCTAGTTTAAGTGATGACAACTCAACAGATGGAGAAGATCCCACTGGACATGGTAATTTATATATATAAAATCTTATGAAGTTGATTATATTAGAATAAATAATCTTAATGAATTTAAACTTGTGAATGGATTTAAAAGGCAAGTTAGATGTTTAGGTTTTAAATTAAATATAATGTGTGTACTTAAACATATACAGTAACATCATTATTTATTTCAAAGATAAATTATATATAAATGACATTATTATTAATATTTCTGGAAGGGACCCTTCCCGAATTTATCTCTGTACCACCGTTCCTTAGACCAACACACAAGACCTCCCAAGACCATTCATTACATACCAGGAGCAGGGACCAGAATCTGGCTCGCTCTGAGGCATAGGGAGCAGGGTGTTCACATATCAACCACAAAACTAGCAACCCCTTTATAAAGTATAGGCACAACAAAACAAGTGGCTTCTTAAGGAAAGTAGGCACCCTTATGTAAACAAAAACAAAAAAACAAAACTATAGTTTCTGTGCTTACTGGTTGCCAGAGTCCTTTCACCTGTGGGTATGTTCCATTTGTCAGCACTGGACCTGAGATTTGGCTGAGCTACCTTCTTGTATGGCCACCTTTTGGGCTGCTGCCACTTTGCTGCATTGGATTTTATGATATAGGCTTTTGCAACCCTTCTGCAGCTGGTGTGGATTCCGATTCCATGTTTTTTCAAAGGAAGTTTACAAGTATCTGATCTTTAACACTTTGTGCCTCTTTTCAGCCAGATTCCTCTGCTGTCTCTGCTTTGGTCGGCTTGCTTCAGTTTGCATGATTTCTTCTCTTTCTCCTTTGTCAGTTCAAGCTTCTCAGCTGTCTTGAGCTGCACGGTCGCTGGCGCCATAATGTCCTTGTCAACATTGGATATATACTCACTCATCCATCTGCAACCACAACAATGATCTCCCAGAGGGTATAGACTCATTCCTCTCAATGTTTGCTGAAGACGCCAAAATTATGAGAAGGATTAAGACAGAGGAGGACAGCTTGAGGCTTCAAGAAGACCTGGACAAGCTGCAGGAATGGTCGAACAAATGGCTGTTAGAATTTAAACCAAGCAAATATAATGTAATGAAGATAGGGGTAGGAAGCAGGAGACCAGATACAAGGTATCACTTGGGAGATGAAATACTTCAAGAGTCCGAGAGAGAGAAAGACCTGGGGGTTGATATCACGCCAGACCTGTCCCCTGATGCTCACATCAAGAGGATAACAGCAGCAGCATATGCCAGGTTGGCTAACATAAGAACGGCCTTTAGAAACTTGTGTAAGGAATCTTTCAGAACATTATATACCACATATGTCAGACCAATCCTGGAGTATGCGGCACCAGCATGGAGTCCATATCTAGTCAAGCATAAGACTAAAATGGAAAAGGTTCAAAGGTTTGCCACCAGACTAGTACCCGAGCTGAGAAGTATGAGCTACGAGGAGAGACTACGGGAATTAAACCTCACTTCGTTGGAAGACAGAAGAGTTAAGGGGGACATGATCACCACATTCAAGATCCTCAAGGGAATTGACAGGGTTGATAAAGACAGGCTGTTTAACACAAGGGGCACATGCACTAGTGGACACAGGTGGAAACTGAGTGCCCAAATGAGCCACAGATATTAGAAAGAACTTTTTTAGTGTCAGAGTGGTTGACAAATGGAATGCATTAGGAAGTGATGTGGTGGAGGCTGACTCCATACACAGTTTCAAGTGTAGATATGATAGAGCCCAATAGGCTCAGGAACCTGTACACCTGTTGATTGACAGTTGAGAGGTGGGACCAAAGAGCCAGAGCTCAACTCCCGCAAGCACAACTAGGTGAGTACATTATTTCTGAATGTAAAATGCTATTCTCCAGATTCAGACTTCTTGTGTAGATAATGCATCTTCTCCTTGCTTCATTCCCAATTACTAATATCATTTTGGTTTCTTTCTAGTGTACTTGATCATTTTACCTCTGTTTTTTGGTACTCTGTTCAGTCTCAGTGGAGTTTGGTTGTTTAGGTTTTGGTGGCAGCCGGCATCTTGTCAACTGCTTTGCAGAGAATTTTTACTGTGGTTGGATGCCTCAGTTCTGGCTTCGGGCCAATCCAGAAAATGCTTTTTCAACGGCCCCCAGTAGATCGCTGCTCAGTTTTCTTCACAATAGATTATTGGGTTTTACACTGGTGACTTCAGAATGAGAGGGTTAGATTTTGTGTGACACCATAGGTGACTTAGTTTCCATCTGCTGGTGGTTGGGCACATCTCATTTAGGGTTATTTACCCTGTAAAATAAAAATAATTTGCATTTTTCACATAGTGTTGCTAAATTTCCTAAAAGCACTTGCTTGTTTTGGTGCACCTATACATTTTAGTAGGTTTTTCTAGTTTCATGGTTCATCTCTGATCCTCTGTTTCCCTCCCCCTTGCCTCATAGATGGGGGAAGCCAGATTCTGGACTTGGCTCCTGGTAGGCAAAATGTGTCTTAGAGGCCTGGTGTGTTGGGTTGAGGCCTGGTGGTGCCAGTGATAAGCTGGAATTCTGTGGGAATGATACCAAAAAAGAGCAGTTCATTACATTCAATATTTGACCTTTTTTCCAGTTACTGAAGAGCCAGCATTAAGCTTGACTCCAGATCTGGTATTATTCCGAGCCTGTGAAGCTCATAATTTGCCGATGATGAGTCACAGCATAGCAGTAGGTGCTGATAAAAATTGGCATAACCCAGATGAAAATGGACAGACTCCAATGCATCAGGCAGTTAAGAGTGTATGTATTATTGCCAGTTTTCATTTCCCTAATGTTTAGATAAAGAGCATACAACCACACAAGCTAATCATGTGTGCTGTTAAACAAATTCACAAGGGCCGTGACGAGGATTCGAACCTATGTCCGAGATCATCCCAGACGCTGCCTTAACTGATTGAGCTACAACGTGGTCGTAGCCCAGTCGATTAAGGCAGCATCTGAGATGATCTCGAACATAGGTTCGAATCCTCATCACGGCCCTTGTGAATTTGTTCATTGATGCATCACGTTGTTATTTCTGTGTGTAATGTGTGCTGTTAATGTGTATATAGTGAATCATTGCATTCTCTTCCATAAAAGTTTCCAATTTCAGTCATCAGTAGTTGGCAATATTCTATTAGTTCAAAACACTCTTGCCTATCAATAACTTTAAATGTGCTCATTATTTTCTTAGTACAGCCGAGTCCTAAATATGTAGTCATGACCTATGCTGTCTAAACCTATACTGTGTGTATATTAGGACCCATTATGATAATAAACACACATTGTCAAAACCTACACAGAGTTTAATAGGTGATGTGAATTAATGTTACTATTTTTCCCTCACCCTGCCATTAAGTATTGTTTTGATGGTTATAAGAGTCTACAACAACAACACTGCAGTCAGGGAGTGAGATCTCGTACACAGGTTATCTCATTGCTACACATGGATCGGGGGGGGGGAGGGGGGGTTGTTCACATAGTCATAAAGATTACTGATGAACAGTGCATCTGTTAAGTACTGTACCTTTCATTGACCCATATTGGAAGCCAGCCAATACCAATGTTCATACCCACAAGGTTGTTAACCCCTTGCACAGTGCCACTTGCATCTTGGTGATTCTATAGAGATGTCATTTGCCACTAGAGACCTCTGGCAATCGTTTGTCATATTATAACAAATCCTGAGAGCCTTAATTTCCTTGGTTAACATGTGCATCCTGTCTGACATATTACTTTGCAGCCAGTGAATGCACAATGCATCCATGCTTTATAGGACCTGGGAGATCTAGATGAAGAGAAATATATTTAAATTAATTAACTGGAATAATATGCTTCCAGATATGAATAAGGTGCTCTAACAGCAAGGGAAGTGAGACTGAGGAGTGAGGGTGCAGGTCATGACTTACAAGATGCTGCAACGATGAATGTCACACTTTGACTTGCCAGTTATAGCATATTTGATGATACAATATCTGATTCTGCTGAAAATGTTGTGATAGTGATCTTGTTGCTTAGTGGTGGTGGGGGCGAGTGGTGATCGTGCTAGTGATGAGCATATGTTGTGTTCTTTGTGCAATGTAGTACTACTGTATACTAGCTTGTAGGACTTAGGGCCTGACTTTTTCAGTCTATAAGCACATGAGCTACTGAGGGCCCACCAGCAAACAGTGTTTCATGATAACCAACACTTGAGTTTTTCCTCTTTTGTCTTCAAAAAATTTCATTTTAGGTAAGAACTACAGTACTTCATTTAATGTTCCTGTGTACCTTGGTCTCAGTCAAAGGTCTTCGGTATTTGCTGACTGTATTTTGATCAAATTCCTTAGTTTTAATAGTGGACAACCATCTTTGTATGGACAACCATAAAATAACAAAAAGTAACAAACTTTGGATGTACAGTAACTGAATTTTTGTTAACTCTGGAAGGGAATCTGGTATGTCTGTCTTTCTCAGCAAGAATCTACTATTTATCTTTTGACGCCTTTGAGAATTCCTCTTTTTTGAAGAAAGCAGAGTGTTTTCAGACACTTCATGTGCCTTCAAATGTTACCGCTTGTGTTGTGTGTATGTATGTGACTAAATCCTAAATTTGGGTCAGCTTAATACTCTCCTTCCAGGGTTCTGTAATGGCTGTACAACATCTTTTAATAAATGGGGCCCGCTCCAATGAGCAGGACTCTAAGGGACATACACCATTACACCTAGCATCATTATTATCAAACATTGGCCAGGTGAGTAACATGCTGTGTTAATCTTCCAATAGGATACTATTTTATAGTACTGTACTATTAAATATTTGTTAATGTAAGCAAAAACCCTCTGATATGCAGTGGCTTAGTTTTAGAGTTAAGATGTGCATGGCACCATATCTCTTGTATATTTCTGAACATATTTAAAATGTAATTGCTTATATTTATAGAAAATTTATTGTAGTGTAAATAATAGGACATGATTACAGGTTTGCTTATTATTGAAGCATCGGGTGGACCTCAACATATGCAACAACAATGGTCAGAAAGCTATTGACCTAGCTCTTGAAAGCAGTGAACCAGATGTTGTAACATTGTGAGTAAAATATTTACATATATAGTACAATATTTGCTGATATTTTTTATGCCTGTTAGTGGCTTATACATTATTAACTAGGTATCCCCATTGAAGAAATTTTATGGTTTTGTCACATTTTACTGAAAATAGTTCAGGAGGCAACTCAGCCTCTTAACTAGTACATCTCTCTCGCACATTATGGTTCCTAATGTACAAATTATCAAGTACTGTAATATGAAAAGTAGCGGCTCACAAAAATCTACATTTTAAAAGCATCTTGAATACCTTCCTTGTATCAGATAAGAATATATAGTGTAGTTATGAGAAAATCCGTAGGAGCCGTGATAAGGGTTCGAACCTATGTGGTGAGTGCTCCCCAGGCACATGCTCTAGACAGCTATGCCATGACATGACCATGGCCTGGTTGACTAGGGCGTGTGCATGGCAACACCCAGCGCATAGGTCGAACTCTCATCACGGCTCCTACAGATTTTCTCATTGATATATCACAATAGTGTGATTGCTGTGTTTGTATGCTGTAGTTTTAGTGGATTTGTATATGTAGAAAATTAGAATTACTGTACTTGACATAATTTCTCACTTGCCTTCAGGTTACGAGTGGCCAGTCTTAGTGAACACATAGATCGTGATGGTGGTGAAGATAATAACATGCTCACAGATTTCTTGCGAGATTTCCAAGAGAAGATGTTTATTCAAGGCTACTGCAGGGCTCGCCAAAATGAGGAGACATTAAACTGAGCGAGTGAATTTATACTTGACAATTATAACCAAGCATACAGTACTCGTAAACGTAGAAGAATTGGCCAGGCCTATACAAACTAATTCATCTGCCACTGTAAGCATTAACATTGACAGTGTTCTGCAGTAGATGATACTTATATTGTTGTTAAATTTTATATAATTTTAGAATTAAGCTTTTCATAATGGATTTCAAGGGGAAAATGTAATATCAAGAAGGCCTTTTTTTTAAAGTGGGGTTCCATACAACTGTATATCTTAATTCAAAATATTATTCATATTTGTGACTTTGTGTCCATTTATTTGTGAATACATTGTTAACTTTCTCAGATAGCATATATTTTTATTGTTCGTCATACATAGTGTTTTATAACATATTTTCTCATTGATCATTGAGGTGGGTACAAACACACACAAGATTCTCATTTTAAGAATTACTCGCATTTTTACTGTATTGTTTCGCTGTTGGTAGGAGGTATATGTGTGTGTGTGTTCTCAAAATATGAAACACTTCTATATAAATTTTCAGCCAGTATTAATAATTATCTTTATAATTAGTTGCAAAAATTTACACTTATGTGATATCCAAGAAATGTAAAATGGGTGTCAACAATAGACATCCATTGTTTTGCCTTGTCTAAATCTGTGATTGTGTGTTGGAGAGGTAACTACTTATAAATATGTTTCAGTACTCATGAAGGGCTAGTAAAGTTGTAAGCTTTATTGTTACTCAAAATATTAAAAATTACTCTACAGTACTCCCCTTTGTATATCAACAAAGTTAATCAACTCAAATATGAAAGTAGATTAAGCTAATCCTTATACACTATTTTATACCTTGTGAAAAGTGTAATGATACACAACACAATCGATCAACCATAATAAAAGTACAGGAGTTTTAAATCACAATGAAAGGATTGTAATGATTATGTTAAAAGTAAAAAAAAGAGAGGATGCCATTCATTTCTCATATAAAAGGGAACATGATAAATTAAGCTCATTTATATGTACAATGCATTATTCAACCAATGCTTCTTCAAGCTGATTCTGTATTAGAATATGAAACTGCATGCTACAGACCTGTGTGCCTTTGATGTTGTGGAAATCTTGAGAAATGTTGTTCAGTGAAGGTGCTAGGTATTTTGGTTGTATAATTGTTACTTTATTGCTGTTAAAGTTAATGTTGTGTAATGTGAGATCGTTTCTTAAAGTCTGGATGTGTGAATGTTCTGTATTTATTATGCATTTGCATCAGTGCTCTTTTGGCTTCTTAATCTGAACTACTCTGCTTATTTTTATTAGACTTTAGTATGGGTGTTTCTTATGATGCTATTCTTTTTAAGTTCAGTTAGCATGCCTTTTGACCATGTATTTATAGCATAATTTATTTTCTAAACAATTAACTGATTAATGCAGAAGTTCATGTACAAGATTGGTATTAGATATGCTTACTTGAGGTACTTTGTTCCATAAATCTGATTGGCAATCGCCAAACAAGATTGCTTTTTTTTTTTTTTTTTTTTGAGTGATGTGTTTAGGGTTTCTGTGATGCCGATTTCTTTACAGTACTAAGGGTGTGAATGCTTATGCCCGCTGTCAATAGATGGCTTGGAAGGTCTGACAAACTACTATTAGATCCCATTTTCCTTGGTACCAGTATGACCATATTGGGCAACTTTAAAAAAGAAACAATTTATATTTATCACTATGTAAATTGGAGTTATTATTTATAATAGTTATTTCTAGAATTATTGAATGTATTTGCATTTCAATATACAGTACAGTCAATCTTTTGTAATGCTGAGTGTAAATAGCATTGCTGTGTACTTGTGCCAAATGGGAGAGTTGGAGATTTTTCATGTCCAATATCACTGCCGACAACCCCCCCCCCCCATATATGGAAGAAAATTTGCAAGAATGCGGGCGGTCATGATGTAGCACCCATCCTTCATCTTTTTGGTCTCGTTATGTCTTTAACGAGTGTCGGTAAAGAATTATCCAAGTTGCATGGGCTGGCCATTAGCACCAGTAGCACCTCCCTCCTGGCTTTCTTGTCCAGAAATTCCATGCTGAATCACACCCTCTGGACTTCGTAAAAGTTCCAAAAGTTCATTGTAGTGACGACTTCCCTTCACTCCATTGCAGCAGGCTTTGATAGCACTGTATTTACTGTATAACCTGTCATCCAAAAATTATAGTGGTTATAACAACTATTGATGATGCGTACAAAAATGGACTGTGGAATTCGCAAATGTTCTTGCACTATTCATTTTTAGAAGATACGATAAAGAAGGCAACAACTGAACCTAATCTTTCCTCAGTTTGCTATAACACATACATGAAGTATGTCTAGAATTGGCTTAGAATTACTTTTTTAGGCCTAGGACAGGTTAAGTTAGGTTGTATAGTTATGCTCCACATTTTAGAATGCAATTTGGAGTATTCCAATAGTTCAAAATCTGAACATTTTTAGATACAATAGTCTAATTTTTGTATGAGCAATAGTTGCTATAAGTTCTATTATTTTTGGCAGATTGGTTGTCACTAAGCTGCTTCACTATTTCCCTTCATGTGCCTGGATCATTTACACACTTTCTGGAGTCATGTCCTTAGCTTTCAATAAATATATATTTTTAGATTGGATCCTGAGAAATCCCAGCAATGAAGGTGAAATGTCTTTACAGTCAGGTTCTTCTAATAGGTGTCCCATCATTTGAGCGGCTGAAATTCAAATTTAGCTCTGGGAAATTTGCGTGTAGATTGTGGGAAAATTGGGTATAAATGGTAATTCCTTTAATATGGCTCCAACCATGTTTTTTAATGTTCTTTTTGTACATGGATGCAACATTAAGAGAAACAGTTGTGTAGCCTGGGAAGAAAAATGGTATATTTAAAACAAAATTCTAAGGTTCATTTTTAGTTTGGGGGGGGGGCTAGGTTTGGACCCTGCTGCTTTTGAAAGTGCGACTTTGAGGCTGGGGCATGGGAAATAAATAACTGTACGTAATTGAATTCTCTCCTAAACACTGGTTCTTGTGGCAATTATCCATTATGAGGTTAAAATTTTTCTCTCTAAAATTAGCCCATAGTTAGAAAAATTATGGTATGAATGGTAATTTCTTAACACTTTCGCGCTCTCCGCAAAGGTCACTCAGCCAACCGAATGTGCGCGCTGCGTTTTTATCGCTTAAGCGTAAGAACAAGAATGTGTATACTCTTTTTACTCTTCTGACCTTAGTTCTCATGCTACGTATTTCATTTTGGTACCAACGTGTTCGCAATAAAATTCTCTAGAAGAACATTAGTAAAATAAGTCACGAAACATATAGGGATACCAGCACCAAATAAATAACTACGTAGATGACTCGCCGTGAGCGCCCATCAGCAACAAAATGTTTTTACTCTTGGGATTGTAATCACCTCCACACTTGTTCTACAGCGTTAATTTTGGTATCAATGAACTCGCAATGAAATTCCCAACACGGTGATATGAATATAAGCGTAGAATAATGATGCAGCCCGCCCGCAAGAGTGTGGGAAGTGGTGAAATTGTTACCCGGTATCGGTGACGGGACGACGCACGGCGCTTTGAAAGTTTATACTTATTTCACTCTCATGACATTAATTTTCTATGTACGTCATTCATTTTTATGTCAATGTGTTCGCAATAGAATGTTCTATGTGCCCATAGGTAAAAAATATCAACAAAGCGTAAGTTAGAATAGCGACAAATATAAAACAACGCTGGAACATATCAGTGAGCGTCAAACACACAGGAAATATTTTTACTTTTGTTATGTTTGTCAAGATTATACTTGTTGCACACAGTTATTTTTGGTTGTATATTGATCGGAATAAAATTCCCTAAACAGACATATGCATATAATACATGATATGGGGGAAGAATTACCAGTATAAACGGCTAAAGTCACCCACCTGCAACCCGTTTGGGACAAAATACCATTTGATCGAAGTTATCCACACCTTTCATGAACTTATTGTACCATGCAGCCTAGTGGTGAGAAAGAGAGCCTCATAGCGCGCAGTTTGAAACAAACCCAAAGTAAATCGGATAAAAATTGAATTTTATACAAATATTTTAAAAGTAGACATAACTTTATGTCCACTATGCGTTTACGTTAGACGAAACCGAACGCGCCGGCGCGTCCAGATAGCGCGAAAGTGTTAATTAAGGGTCTGATTACATTTTCAAAATGGTTTGTGAATTAATGCACCATTAGCAGAAAAGAGATGATGGCTTGGAAAAGCCACTGAGCATATTTAAAACTAATTTCTATGGTTCATTATCATTTATAGGTTTACATGGAACTCGTAGAAAATTTGGTGTTAATTAGAACAAAAATGCAATTATTTGGAATACTAGAGTTCCTGCAAATCCAACTCTGATCAGGAACAACATGATCCACATTGTGAAGGTGCCACTGTACAGTATTTGCTAGAGTAACACAACTGGTTTACATAGACAAAGTTTACATACATTGAAAAAGTTTAAGTTTTCTTGTTTTTATGAGTAAGCAATTAACTTTATATTCATTTCCAAGAATTTGTTTTATTCAATAGTTTATTTGAACTGCGGAAGTAAGCTTTCATAATGTGGCTGCTCTATGCTGGCAACCATAAGTTGAAAGGTTTAGAGAGTAATGAAGTCAAAGTGTATTAAAGTACATTTGAAGGCAAGATGAGAAGACTGCCAGAAAGATGAACATTCATAGTAATATTATAACATTAAAACTGCACTTGGTTATGGCTGGTATACAAAAAAGTCACTTTAGTTGTCATGCAGACTGTGGCTCCCACTCATTAACACATTTTTTTACATCAAAATCTAATAATTATAAGCAGTCAAAGATGACCATGTTAAGCTTTATGAATCATGTATGTTATACACAGTGTCCCGTTTAATACTAAATAAACACTTAATGAGTGGATCCCAACCTGGGTCTACTATCAAACTTAGAATGAGTAATTCTACATTAACATGAGGGGACCCAACCATACATATGTGGAATGCAATAAAGACCAAATCCCCTTTCTAGTATCATCCAAATGTAATAACAAGGAAATGTAGTACATAACCCAATAACTCGAAAGGGTAATAAACAATATGAAAATCTAATCCTCGCAAAGGAGAACCAACCAATAATGGAAAATACACCTTGAAGTGTACTGCAGGCGAAGACACTTGTCCCCCACTATTGACGTCGGCCAATGCTCTTCAGGAATCCAAAACCAAGTACAATTGATGGTTCTTCACAATTTTGATGCAGTGTAAATGTGGCTGTAAACACCATGGTCTTGCCTACACTTCAATTATTGCTGAATTATATTTTTAGGTTACTGCGCCAACCAGTTCATTGCAGGGAAATTTGTCACAATAAAGTCATTCGATTTTACTGTAGGTGCAACAGCATTGTGGCTCAATATTTCACAAAATACAGTATCCCTCTTCTATTGATATTAGTACAGTAAATGTTAGTCACTATCTTCCCCAAAATAAACTATTAATTGTTGTGTGTGCATGTATCTGCCTGTCTATCTCTAATGATATTTAGACAATATTGTATATATAAACAATTGATTTTCTATTCAGTAATAATGATAACAAAAAATTACTTGTATTTACTGAGGAGCATGGATGTGTGTGTTGGTGTGAATATAAGAGATGGATGGGTCAACCCAAAAAGCTGCCAACCACATTGTGTGTGTTGTGGGTATGTGTGTAATTACCTTTGTA